ATTGATTCCCAGGGCGCAGTGAGTGTCCAGAAGGGTGGCAGTTATAAGGCCTAATTGACATCCCGTGTTAAGTCTCGCTCCGAGGATTAATAGCGTCGAACAGGATCTCACATTCGGCTCTGCAGTAATCTGATTGTAATTCTTCAAAGAAATAAAGACATATTCCTAAGATGATATGGAATCATAACACATGAGAAAAAATAAGACGCTAGAAGCATATTTCAATCTGAAGCGCCTCTTAATAGTGTTTGCAGAAGCAGAAACTCGCACTAGGCTATAGACAAAGCCATGTAGGTCACGTCCGGAGGAGATAGTGAAAGACTTCCTCACATCCTCTTAAAGACATCAATTTTACTCTCCAAACATAATTCTACTTTATATGTTTATAGATAATAGTAATACAATTAGAGACTTGTAATAGGGTGAACCAATTTTGATGACAGACATGCTATACGCTTTGATCATGTACTGTTTCAAGAGCCTCCACGTCTAAAGCTTTCCACCTATATAACAATTATAAAGAATCTGAAGACAGACTATGAGCTGGGATATGAGGATGAACTGACGGAATGGTGGTACTCAACCACTTCGATCATCCTAGGGATCGAACATGACTTAAAAAAAAGCGAGGCCGTCGCTCTACCGACCAATTCAAAAAATATATTTTAACATTTTATAGTTTGAATCAGTAACGGGTTGGCCTATCGAAAGTGCTTGAATTTTAGTGATGTACTGGTGAACCAGTGAACCGGTTTGACTAGTATTGGGCTTAAGACCTATCGACCGCTGGAGACTTTATTAAAAGCACAACAATAAAGAAATTTAACTCTTCCGATTCCGTCGAGATCTATCGCCGCTACAGACAGTGTAGGGGAACTAGCAACTCAAATAAAAAACTGTATTCATAAATGACTGTACATTTGACGAGCCAATGACGCAGAACTACTTTCTCTAGGAGCCCTTTCTGAAGCCTTCCGTGTATGGGAGCACCAGTGTATGGTATGGCAGACGGGAACGCTTGGGGAGTAGAGTATTGATCTGGCTAAGGCGTTGTACTTTGCTTCAAGCCGAAGCTTGGATTGGACTTCTTTATTGTGTTTGTTTTTTTGGAGGAGGGAAGGAGTCACTTTCTACAAATTCTGGACAAAATTTGTAGAATTTGTGGAAAATACGCTATTCTAAATGACAAGAAAAAAGCCTACACGGGAGACAAATGACGAGGATTAAGGGATTAGGAACGTTCATATTCTTTAGTGGTGTTCCAAGGAAGGTTTAGTCTCAGTTAGGCACTGTTGAGAGTCCTCCTTATTATGAGCATCCGTGGCGGTTCATTGGACAAATTTCATAATTTTGAGGCCCAAGTTTGTATCTTTAATGATCTAAGTGAGTGATACAAATGAACTGGATATAATTTTAACCACCAATAATCGGAGTTATTGATAGGCGAAGATAATGATAGGCAAAATAATGTAATGACAGCCGAAGAATTCTGTTCAAGCACTCGTTGTCAAATCACCTTAAATTTCGAATTATATAATAAAACAGCAACCCAAAACAGACAGAAAGCGCAAAAAAAAAAAAAAAATTAAAAGCGAAAAGTTTACGTTAAAAGCTTTAATATCTAAACTGAATAATATAGGATATACATGCCCTATGTATAGAACATGCCGATGACGCAGAATGTATAGTTCTATAGAACATGTATAGGATATGCATGTTCACTGCTCTTCATGAGGAGCAAGGAAAACAGTTCAGACGCTTGTATATACATGATCAGAAAGTATTCATACGTCGCTGTGACAGGAATAATTAATTAATAATTCCCGTTGTCAGGGACAGGAAGCCTGTACGTGGGCTTTGTCGAGGTCTCCCCCCCCCCCTTAGCAGGCCAACTACGAACCCTCTCACAGGATGCAACCCACAACAGTTGAATAACTTGCGGGTTATTTTATGTTACTGCCACGGGATTGAACCCGGGGTTCCTCAGTTGTGAGTCAATGACGCCCCTCCACTGTGCTTTTTAATCAAAATGGTGGAATTATGATATAACAAAGTTGCGAAAATGAGATATAAATGCGTCGCTAATCGGAAACAAGAAAATGATAACTGGACACGAATGAAAATACAGCAGAATGTATCGTGTTATGACACGATTGAAAATACAGCAAGAATGTATCGTGTTATGACGTACAGTTAGGAAATTCGTTCGTCTTGGCAAACATAATTATATGACTCGTTTCATGTTCAAGTTGAAGTGTGTTTACTGAGACAATAAAAAAATACATCTCAAAGGGATAGAGTAACTTAGGCTATTACTCCCCCCCCTTCTACTTCAAGTCCCTCAAGGAGCGAATAAATTCAGTGAGCACAGATCCATAAATCATAATACAAGACTCCCATTTAACATTGCAGATTAATATAGTAAGCGCAGCATATAAGTGTTATACTCTTGGGGCAAAATTCTTGTAGCTCCTAAGTATTCTGTCTATCATACCATTATCACATATCCAAACAATTTGATGTGGCACACTACTTATTTCCTTATTTCTATAGTTATCAATACGTTAACGCTGTAATACATAATGATCTAAGGTGTGGGCGTGCGGCATGCTACATAATTTAGATATCTTTTTCACTGACATCAACACCGTATTGCCAGATATATTTGTATCCTAATCTTAATCTCATTTAAAGTGAATCCTCCCAAATAGACTTTCCTCTATCATAAGTGAAGGACGAATTTGTATTTATTATTGCATATTTCTTAATTGTGTTACTACAGTCCACCATTGCCATTCTCTTAACCTTTTCTTCATCCTCTTGGATCATCTTGATTCTTGTTTTTATTTGTTTCAAAGTTATCTGACATACAACATCGACAAAAGTTTTTTTTTCGTGGCTCTCTTTGCTATCTCATCAACTAGCTCATTCATTTACTGCGGACTAGAGCATCGAATCCCCAAAAGAATTGTATGGTTATATAAGAAACAGAAGAGTTCAGATAATTAATTGGTTCAATAGTAATAGAAACTGTTGGTAATAGAGAGGGCAAGGAGGGTATATCTATCATATGAGTGTTTGGCTCCTGTATTTACCGTATAGTATATATATCAGCCCATTTCCATCACCATTAGTAACCATCACTTAGTAACCATTACTAAGCGATGACACAATATTTCCTTAGATTTATATAAATTGTCGAGCAGGTTCTGCTTATAACGATACAAAGGGAAAATATAAATTAAACGGCTTGACGTTGGCCGTCAGTCAACTCGCGGGCACAAAAGTTCAAGACCACACAATAGTTCAACACTATTGTGTTGATAGGGAAGGCCGCCATTTATTTAAGACACTGTTGGTACTCGTTAATACACACCACACGCTAATATACACCGCACGTTTAATACACACCAACACTAGATTTTTAATCAATCGTTATACTTGCATGTAAGAAGTAAGAGCCATAATTGCTTATGGCCCACTTATAATTAGATCATAGGCCTAAATCTGAAATAAAAAGTCTCTATATAATTATACTTCACTGGGCTTATTCTTGGCTTAACTAAGTAGGAATATATCTGAAAGTTTACTCTATCTATTTATGTAAATTTGGTAGTATGTAGACTCTTAGCAGAAAAAAAACTCTTACACTGTAAAAGTAGTGTAAGATATTATGCAACTTAACCGTTTCAAAAAATCCAAGAATGTTGAGACTATTTCAACATATAATTTATGCTCAAGAAGTTTATAAATACAGTATTTGTATTCAAACTACGTTACCCCAAATCTTGGCCGACTATCGATATCAATTACCCATTGCAGGTAATGCATATATTGTCATATAGTTGAGCAACACTCTACCTTGTATTTCATTTTAAAAGTATTTCAATTTAAAAGAAAATCATTTGGATCCGGAGCCTATTGCGCAATTGAAATTTATCCGCCTCCGCCCAGAGAGCAAGGTAGCCCATATAAGTAATTTTTGGTATATATATATATATATATATATATATATATATATATATATATATATATATATATATATAAAAGGTATATATGTAAGGTAAAACTAACCTGTCTCACGACGGTCTAAACCTAGCTCACGTTCCCTATTGGTGGGAATATATTGGATATATTTCTTTATAAAAGGAGTATATTTCTTAATTGAATTGTGCATTCATGTTCTACATTTAATTAAACTGATAAGACTCAATCGTTATCGATATTATGAATTGAATAGCAAAATACTTTTTGCGTCTTATTGGGCTTTTATAGCGGCTTTTGTTCTAATAATTGACCTTATATAAACACATTGAATTAAAAAAAAAATTGTTCCTTGGTCAGTTACCAATTATAGCTAGGCATTGTTTAGTATGAAGTAGAATTGGCACATTATCTAATTTGCAAAGAACTATCTTTTCTCTTCTTTACTAAGCTCAACCAATCTATCACTAATTTGCAAAATAAAACGTGTGTAAGAGGCAGAGAAACAAAGGATATCAATCATTTATAGCCCAGTCAATTTCCCTTACCCCCCCCCTCCCAAGAGTCACGAATTGGACTTGCCAGATTGCTGGATTTTTCATTTCTGCTCTTTATCATTTTATTGCGGGTTATCCATTTTCATTCCACGTTTTACTCTTTGAAGTGTTTTTTTTAGATGTTTAAATACAAAGAAAAGTAACTCTTTGTATACTTTTATCTTTTTCATTGAATAATTAAAATACTTGGTCATAAAATGGCAACATTGTTGATAAACGCCCTTGAGAGTTGACGTGAACGCTGTATTGCAAATCAATTAAATAACCTATCATTTTCCCCTCACATTTTCTTGACCTTTTCCCCCCGTCTACAAGACCTTGGGGATAATTCTCTGTATCGAGAGACAAGACAATGGTTGATTATGTGAGCCAAATTCCCACCAAATTGGAAAAAAACCCAAATCAAATGTTGAGTAAGTTTTGAATTGGGCGCGCAAGTTTAGTCTTTGTTGTGGCGGCTCGCCGGCAGATGGCAACACCGACAGTGGCAGCGTGGGGCTGGAGGCAGGCTGGCAGCGAGATTTTAGTCGTGACTATTGTGAACCGACGCCAAATGGGAGTTCATCAGTGAACTATGAGTATGGAAGGATGTGTTCATCTTTCTGAGTTCAAGTCCTCGAGAGGAACGCAGCCATTCCGCCTCATCTACAGCTTCTTCGTGTTCTGCACGAGTAAAGCGGCGCGCCAGCAGAAGGTGAGGCTCCCCCCCGTCAGCTGATCGGCGGCGAGTGGCTGTGCGTGGCCCCCCCCTCTCGCCCGCGCCACTCTTGTTTTAGCGGGTTATTGGGCGAGTAGCGCCACTGGCCGGCCACTCGCCCCTCCCGGAGCCCGACGAGGGCCCTGGCAGTGTGGCCGGGGCCCCGCTGGCTGGCCTGAGGCAGGTGTTTGTGGCGGTAGCGGGTGTTTGGGTTTGACAAGATGCTTTGTTTTGGGTGTTGGTGAGCGATCAGCTGAGAGGCGTGTTGCCAGGAACCGCATTTTGGCCCAATTGTGGAAAAGTTTCGTCACTAAAACATTTAATTTTTTCGCCCAGATTTATCTATTTTATTATTATTTTTTTTTTAAGATTGTCACACGTAGTAGCTAAAGGTCATAATATTGAGGCGAAGAAAGGTTTTCTTCCCCTTTTTCTTGGCACACATGTAAATGAATGAATGATTTTGTTGAGCGTATTCCGCGTTACTATACCTTTCAGAATTAAAGTTTTCATTCATATCTAACATGAGTGAGGGGCTGGGGCAGGTGAGTCATTTGATGATATGACGCTATCACGCAGGAAGTGCCGAGACGCCGTAATCGATCACTTTGTACTCGTGGTGTGAACAGTAAATTCCCACCCCCCCCCCTTTTCACCCTCCCGCCCCATGTGACATTAAAAAACTATTTTAATTCACCTGTGAACTCTATTTGAACTAATTATAGTTGGCCCTACTGTCTAGTTTGACACTGGAAATGGTGTCACTTTTAGTGTCACTGGCTTTGGCACTTTGAGGCAAACTGTCGATGATAAATAGTGTACTTTCTCTTATTTAACACTGGACAATTGCCTCCAAAGCTTTGTAACCGTAGATAATCTGCATTAGTATTTGTGTATTGGTGAGGGGAGTTGCTTAAAGATTTCTTTTTCATTCAAGACCTTGGTAGTCATTTTAAAAATAATTTTTGGCTTATTTTAACACGTTTGGTGAGGCACAAGGTTGTCGCCCTTTAAGAAGTAGAGAGTTTATAGAATATAATCCTTTAGTTTTCAATACTGTGTTATTTTAATTATAAGCAAACAATGAATAAAGTTTATTCCACATGGTGTACATACAGTTGTATATAGAATTTTTAGTTTTGGAATCACCTTAATCTACAGCATATTTTGGTAATTTTTGTTAATTTTTATTTTTTAATTTTAATAGTTTTTTAATTTTATTTTTTTTTTATTTTTTTTAATAGTTCATTCTTTGTGCAGGTATTGTGTTTGTGGGTATGGAAAAAGGTTACAAAGCTAAGGCTAAATGCTTTATTTACACTAAGGGAACATAATGCCTTAATTATAAATTAACTTGACTAAATTTTTTTTATATTAAGAGATTGTTATACTCTAACCCTCGCCCTGTCAAAGGCTTTATATATGTAATTTGATCAATTTCCATTGCAGGCAAAATGGTGCGTGTGCGCAGTATGTGGTGCGCACAGTCCCAGGCTTCACGCCTGCTTGCACTGTGTCCACTTTGCCTGTTACCAGGGCCACATTCAGGATCACGCAGCTTCCATGCAACACAATCTAGGTTAGTGTTAGTTTATCGGTGCATGTTCGTAGGTGATATACGTGAGGCTAAGGTAGTGGTTGAAATATGCACTCAGATTTGATATTTTGTTGCGGCATCTGTATACTGTATTGTGTAAAAATTGTAAATACACTATCATACACCGAAGGCAAATTTAATGTAATTTGACATTGTGAAAAACATTACACTGTAAAATTCATTTGTAAAATGTGTTGAATATTTCTTCTGAAAGTCAAGAGCTTGGCTGTTTTCCTTACTGGACAGTTTAAACTAAATAGGAATTTCTAGTATACTTTTTATAATGATTGTAATTGCAGTACAATGGCATTTCAGTTGTGGAAGTAGAGCAAGGTCAGATTTTGTGTATGGCGTGCGGTGATTATGTTTATGACCTGGAGGTTGGTCGCATTGCTCAGGCATGCAAGGAAAAGTCCCGCAGATCACTTGGGTTAGACACCGAGTACAGAGCATGGGAGCCTGATGCCGTGGAAGTTACACTCCTTCAGGCGCATCCTAAAAGACGAAGACCCACTGCAAACTCAACTATAGGTTTGTCTTGGCACTTTATTTTAATACAGTAACAGTACATATAAATAAATTACATTTAAATGATAAAATTGGAAACACTAGGTTTCATTGCAGTTTGTAATAAAAATGTTTTAAGACCATATATTAAGGATTGGAAAGGGAAAGGCATTATCTAGACACATGATTGGTGTGCCAAAACTCAAGCTTGCAAAGGATATTGCATTATCTCCTTTAAGTGCGGCATAGTAGGCTTAGGCAGGAGAGTATAGCCATTGCTGGCCATCTATTTTGTAAGACCGAAGCTTCTTGGCAAAGCTTCTCCGAGGTATTACAAAACGGTTATCATATGTAGATTGCTCTACCCTTTAATTAAATGTGGTACACAAGGCATTCATGAAATGTGCCACACTCCACATGAATAGCTGGGCCTTCCACTTGTTATAGAGCACAAGATATAAATGAAAAACCACACCCTTTGATGGGAGGCAAAGTCTTGAAATAGTTTTCAGGTAATGCATTTCACTTTTGATAACTTACTATAAATAGTTGTTCAATTAGAAGCGATTGTAAAAAATCAGAATTGTTTGTCAAAGTTCAGAAGGTGACCATTTGTTGTGAAAAAATTGAATTCTAGAATTGATTTTTATTCATTGTATATTGAGGTTATGTAAGAGTTTATTATAGATAACTTACTAAACATATGCCAAGTAGTTGGTACATTTCATTGGACCAAAGATTTTTTTTTTTTTTTTTGCTGAAGCGATAATTTGCTAGTTAAATAACATTAAATTAAAGCGATAACTCATCATTGCGGTATTTGATGGAAATATAAAAGGATGATTATTAATAATACTCATCTCTTACAAAATAGCTTATATTTGTGTGTGTGCTTATACTGTAATCCATTAATTGTTTTCACTTTATGCTCGTCTTCTATCAGGGCTTCGTGGTTTGATCAATCTAGGCAACACGTGCTTTATGAGCTGCATTATCCAGGCGTTGACGCACACCCCATTGCTTAGAGACTACTTCCTCTCAGACAAGCACGTGTGTCAGTTTAATAATGATGCGACACGCTGCTTAGTCTGCGAAATTTCTAGACTCTTCCAGGAGGTGTGTACAATGTCATTTTTTATTTTTAAAAAGATTGAATGTTTTGATTTTGAATATTGATAATAGTGCTGCTTTTATATTATTCCATTATATTGAACACATTTCTCTTGCATGTCTTTAGAAAATATTAATTACTTTTCCTGCAGGTGTAAGGTTATTATATACAATGAGATGGGGAGCGAATTCAAATTGTCACTTAAAAATATTTCTGCTAGTAGAAATCCAAACTGATTTACATTTTCTGTTCTTTTGAGGTGTACTGTATTAGTTGTGTATTAAGGCACTAAGTTAGATCTTTGGATAAATTGTGGTTAAAATTATAGGTGGGAAGCTAGTAGCATTGTTAAGTGGTGTACGGAAATAGGTGTGGTTATATATACAGTATACACATCTTCCCGGGTTGTGTAATGCCCCAATGGCAGTTTAATATATTTATAAAGTACTGGTATGTGGTCAGGGTGGCAAGAATATTGAGAGAAGCATGGAAACCCACAGTGTATGATAGGAATATAGGCTATGATAGTTTTTAAGTTATGCAGGTGTAGCAGAAAATGTTCATAACTGAAAGATTTTTTGTGTTCATTTGAAGATTGCTAAATGTGAATGTGGGGAAAAATAATGTGGAGAGTGAAGGAAATTGGGAATTGATTAAATACCTGGCTATGGTATTTATAAAAGATAATTATTGGCAAAGGAAGTTGAGAGCAGATGGTGTTAAAGATGGAATGTGGCTGAGGCAATGAATGGCCTGGTAAGTATTGTAGCAGATAGTTAATAAACTGTGGATTTAGTGATACAAACAACAAATTTGGTTGTGGAAAAGATACCCGAGATGCAAAAATATTTACCGAAATAACTTGTTGATTTTTTCCAGAGTTGGAAAAGCAGCCATTTTCCAACATGGCGACCATTTGTTTGAAATATTACTCTTAATCTTGGTGCATGGGTCTATTTAATTTATGGCTCTGGCTCTGAAATTTATTAGGTTTTGTTTATATGTAGGTTTGCATTTATAATGGCTACACAAGGCTCACACAAGATAACGTAAGTCATATTTAATATAAGGTTCAAATAATAAATGTGTAAATATCCTGAACAAAAGTGCATTATTCTTATTAGGTTAAGCATTATATCCTAGGAGTACAATTCTTTAAATTCTTCAATAACACTTGTGTATTTTGTTTAGTTTTAGTACATTATGTACTACTTTGACAAATGACGGTACACGTGCATTGTCCTATGTTGCCATCATTGTAATAACATCACGTGTATTTTCAACAAGGTTTGTAGTTTCAAGAAGTGTTGTCCAACATATTTCCGTGTCATTTGTGACCCCTAACTTCGTTGGAGCAGCAGTCATTTTGGATCGGCAGTAAGCAACCTGATAGTTTTCTTAGTATGGCAGTCCTGTATTGGTCAGGGAAATGTCATAGTACTTCACTCTTTTGAGTGAAGTAGTGAAGACCTCTTTGCGAGTCTTGTTTACATATTTTATGACATCAGTTGGAGCACTTCACTGTTATTGTGTGGGGTGACTCCATGCTTGTCTGAACTTGATTCACAATAGTTTGTTAGCCACCTCCACTTGATTTACTTTGCAATTGTGCAGTGGCTAATCTTAGTTATGGGCATTTGTTTAGGATTAAAAAAAGACTGCAGTACTGGATATTCAACACGTTCCAAAAATGGGAAGTTATGGCCATCAACTAGGCTTGATTATAGAAGAGGGAACAGAGAAATGGCATCACGCTTGTGTCTGGTGTAACGTTGATTGCCGGTGGTCATGATGTACATCCCCCCACCCTCTATCCCCACGTCTCTGGCTAACCTGCTCTGTAGTACTCTCATGTGAGAATTACTTGCAGTGGATAAATTTTTTTGACTTGTTAATTTTGACAAATTTGTATCCAATGTGGTTAATGGTTTGCTTGCATCTTGACCCGAGTTAGGTTTCCAGGCTGGGTGAGAAGTTATAGGCACTCGGGAGACGAGTAAAAATTTGTGGCTTAGATCTTGTTGTTGGCCTTGGGAACCTTGATAAGTCTAATTGGCTTCCTATCTTCAATAATGGGAAAGCATAGTTTCTGGGTTGGAAATTGTGACTGCATGCATTATATTGGATAATATTTGTTGTCTCGAGTCTTTCTCCATTTCCTTCTGGAACCCGTAAACCTGTTTCCTTAAACTGATGATACATGTATGTGTCTGTTCTATTGTCCTTTGGATGGAATAATTGGTTCATTGTTGGTAAATTTCTTGTGCCATCCCGCAGATCCTGACGCTGCAGCTGCTGCATTATGATCACTGTACGACTTCTGCATTGCTTTAGCTTCAACTTTTTTTTTTTTTATTACTAGACTGTGGTATGTTAATATTTACATTCCTCTTATTAGTTTCCCTTCATGCAGCTCACCTACAATGTCATTATTTGATATTCCTGTATGATTTAGCACTTAATAAATATTTCCTGGATTTTGGCATTTTAGTGTTTACATTTTTTTGCATGGCCTAGGGATGATCTGGCAGTCTAGGTTGTCCAGACCTCGTAGCTTGGGCACTGACGAGTCCTCTACATTGAGCAACAGGTGGGATACAGGTGTAAGACTTATGATTAGTGGATCAGTCTTCTTGGCATAGAAATATTCCTTTCCGTGGAAGATGTGGTGTGCAATCGAACTGGTTTTTTGAACGAGTTTTGTTTACTGCACTGGTAGTTTAGAATCTTTCTCATGTTTTGAAGAACAGACAACACTCATTCTCATCCTGCGGACAGATGATGATTCCAAGCAGGGCTGGATTAAGAGCTAAAAGGGGGGGGGGGGGGGGTGCAGGGGCCCCCAGATATATCAAATTGTGGTAATCAAAAAGAATAGGCCAGATTGTCTTAAATTTAAAGGACCCTATGTTGAGGAGGCCAAATTGGGAAACCTGAAAAGCCAAAGCTGAAATTTTGGCACTAGGCTAAACTCTAATGATGGACTAAGCCTTGTGCCAATATAAAGATTTGACCCATATATCTCGCACACCACAAATTCTATAGTGATAACCCCCTTGGGTCTAACTTTGGAAATCCAGAAAATGAAAGGCATCAAAGAATTCAGTGGATTCCTGGCACACCAGGCATAATTATTCCACTCCCATATTGTCGAATGACGCTGCCAACAGTAAAGAGGAAAAAATCCAGTCGATACCACAAGTGGAACAAGGGGTTACCAGGTCTGCTCCCTCGACACAAGGTAAGAGTAGCTTGGTCACCTAAGTACAGACCCCTTGGGTTGGCTTAAACCCAGTCCTGTTTACCAACAAGGGAAGGCTAAAGAAGACATTACATTAGCCAAACCACAACTTGAAGTTGCTGAAGTACTGTGAACTGGTGTGCACGTCTGCCGCCAATCGAACAGTGTGTGCAGCGATAGACAAATTGGGTCACTGGACAGTACCTAGTGTTGAATATCTTAATTGTTCTAATGCTTAGCCTAGGGCCTAAAACTTGTGTTCCAGTAGCCTGGCCACTGCCATGCACCACTCAAGAATAAATGCCCATTTTACCTAGTGTGTCTGCAACTGGAGTTTAATGATATCAGACAGGGAAAAGGAACATGGTTACTCTCACAAGCAACAATGATGGTTGGGGAATGTTGGATTTTTTTTAATATTGCCTACCCCAAATTAAATTAGGAGATAAATCAAGAAACAGATGTAGAAAGAATATCATTATGCATCTTCTGTAATATAATGGGAGATGGAAGAACCATCACGAGATTAGCTAATGATGAAAACTGCCACTAGTTTTAATTATAAATTTGAAAAAAATTATGAAGGTGGAACACCATGAATATAGCTGTGTTCTGCAGCTACAATTTGGTAAGTTACAATGCAGATTCAAATGCTTTATTCATAAATGATTGTAAATTTATAGTTGGGTTTGATTTCACAAATTTACAGTACCGTACTTTCATTTAGCTAAGGGTGTTGTAATAATATCATTAACATGTAATAAACTAAATTATGTTGTATACGCCAGATTTATGTTTAAAAGCTACGTTTATCAATGATTTAATAAATCACTGTTGTTGTTACAATAGTCGCTGAGCTAATCCGGTGTATGTAAGTCTAAATGAAACATATTTTTGGCATAAAATGCATTAACATGTAGCTTAAAATTTGAAAGGTGATATATATATTGGAAAAAGTGTAGTCGCCCATTAAAACAACAAGACAAATATTGGCACAATTTATACTACAAAATTAGGATAGAACAATTTATGAACTAATATAAACTAATCATACCATACTTGTATACAATTTTTTCAAACCCTCGGGATTCTACCTCAACAAATTTAGGAATTATCCCAGATTAAAATCACTCCAGATGCACAGTGCATACAATGGAATTACACTCAAGACATACAACTTTCTATGAAAGTATCTAGTGAATGGGAAACGAACATGGATAGAAGCAATATCGGACATGGGAGACTGGAAATGAAATCCCGCTAGGCTTTGTCGTAGCAAGTTGCTACTTTGAATTTATCTAATACTCTATAAAAAAAAAGGGGGGGGGGATTTCCTATGTATTATGTCTACAGACCATTAAAAATTGACTTAAGTAAATTCTTGGGAAAAGCTGTAGAGCTTTCCCTAGTTTTGTAGTGGTAACACCCTGTGCTTCACAAAGTGATTTGATCTGGGTTTGAGTTCAGGCCTGGGAGGATTTACTAGGTGTCAATCCATGCCTGTTTCATCACAGTTCACCCAGTAGTAATTGGGTAGGCAGCTGCTAACAGACTGGTAGGTCTTGTTCCAGGGAAAACTAATGGATAAGACTTGCTATGACCTATGAGAAGGAGAAAGCTCTTGGGCTGCTAACAAAATTCAGAAGTAGTTTGCTCCTGTACCCATCTATTACAAAAAAAAAAAGTTACAGGAAGACCTTAAGAAATTGAAAGAGCTGGTAGACAAATGACTGCTAAATTTTTAACCCAAGCAAGTAGAATGAAGATAAGAAGGATGAAAAGTAACTAAGGAAGCGGCATCATTCATGAAAGTTAACTACAGGTATCTAAGTGATGAGATGAGTGAGGCTGGCAGAGGAGCGAGAGATACTAGAAGAAGCGAGAGAGAGACGAGACATTTTTATTGATAAATTAAGAAATGTTTACATTTACAATTGGTTTTTAACTTGAAGTAGTTTGATTAGTCTGTGAAAAACATGAAACATATTGCATATAATGTGAAATGTGGCATTAGAGGCCAAAAATATACTCTAGCTTAAAGAAAATGTGAGAATTTCCTTACATAGATAATGTATCTTGAGGAGATACAAAGTAGCATAAAGAACTTTAGAAGATTATAAAATATACCCTCAGTTCAATATCAGCAGCAGATTGAGGCTAACCTGGATCAAATACTCTTAAAAATACAAAGTATCTAGCTAGGGGGGGGGGGGAGGGGAGGGTGCATCACCATTTTCTATACCAACATTATTTTATTCTATAATGCTGTTGGTTGGTTGGTTGGTTGCTCTACATTGCCGTTGCACAATTAGAGATCTTGGGCTCGATTCCCAAAGTAGGATAGCGATGCTTGGGCATGCTTCCTTTCACCTGATGCCCTCTGTTTACCAGTCAATAAAATAGGTACCCAGGATTTAGACAATTTCATTACATCTTGGAAAGATAAGTAGTTGGCTTAGGAGGACCTAGATGTGCCTAAATACAGGCTGCTCTCCCCAACATGAGGAAACCATTTCTCCGAATTATTTCTTATGGTGTAGATACGAGTATCGGGCCAAGCCGTAAGTTGCATAGTGTGCGCGGATGCACCTGTACATCAAAACTATGCCTAGATAATTTCCTCCACATTCACTTCAGCTTATCTAGGTCAGCATTTTACAGAACCCATAGTTCACAACCATTCAAACTAAGTTATATAGTTGTATCATATTTTCAACCAGGTATCATGATTACCAAATTGCCTTAGTATGAAATTTTTCTGATTCTTTGGTATTTAACATGCTAAACCTTGACAATTTATCTAAGAGTGAGCTAGAAGTAATTGCACAGGGAGAATGTAAAATCAAAGTTTGGAAACTGAGAAAAAAGATACTGTATGTGCCTTATCCTCCAAAAAGTGCTGGAAATGTCCAGAACTGTGGCAAAAGATTCACTGTAATCATGAAACGAGTTGGACCTATAATTTACCCAAGCGCTTCCATCTCTAATGACTTTGACTGGGATAGGAAGCAAGTGATTTTTAAGGTACTCTCATAATTCCCAAGGATATTTTCTAGTTTTATATTGATACATAGGGCTGGATACTGTCTTGCTATTTATTGCTTTGGTGGGTAGGCGATTCCATGGGTTTATTACCTTATGGGCTAAAAAAAAAAATTTTTTTTTACTGTGTGGCCTGTTGAATTTGAAGCTTTTTGCACTTTGTATGATTTATAAGACGATCACGAGTAGAATGAGCCTGACAAGCCGTGAGGTGGTTTTTAGCAGAGACTAGAAAAAATCAAAGATGATGACAAATCACTGCACTTGTCTCAAATTACTGTAGTTATGTTTAGTGGTGTGCAGGATAGACTTGGCTAGGTTTTGTGCAGATATATGATGGTAATGGTTACTAGATGGCTGCCATGGTCTGTTGAAGTGCCAACGCCTTTCAAACCATGGATTAGAGGTTAAATAGGAGAGGAGAAAGAATTGCAATAAGTCTTGCATACCAGCAATGACAATCTGCAACGTGTTTAGCACTGGTGGATCTGTGAACCTCGGGACCTCTAGCGACACCGCTGTTATATAGTTAAGGGAGGACTGTGTGCTTTAACCTGAAGGGCTTTTGTAGCCTCTCTTTTTGGCCAAAGGATACAAGACAGATCCTGGATACTATACTATCCAGGGCAGTGGCTCTTAGCGTGGACTATGTGGCCTACCTTTGCTCCTTCCCATCTGGTGTATTCTAGTGAATATATTCATAGGTAGCTCTTACTCAAGTGGCTTTGAAATACACAAAGTAAAGTCACTTTAGACCATATATAAACACAAGTGAACAGGGGGGAATGGGGAGAGACGACGCCCACATTGAGAAATGAGACTTCATAATTCCTAGTTCAAATGGGTTTTTGGAAGGAACTTTCATTTTGTTGTAGTTATGAAGGTCTAGTAACTTATTTTTCGCTAACACAATTATTAAAGTACAGTATTTAAATTGTTTAGTACTATATAAACTTTATTTTCATTTTAGTTTTACAGTGGGAACAAAGCTCCTCTAATCCTCCACAAGTTACTACATCTCATATGGACTCACGCCAGACACTTGGCAGGGTACGAGCAACAAGATGCTCACGAGTTTTTTATTGCTGCCCTTGATGTTCTGCATCGTCATTGCCAGGTAACTACTCATTTTACTGTTTGGGGAAAATGATAATTTTCCCATTTTCATGGGGTGGGAGGCATCATTCTGGAGAGAGGAAAATGAAAGGCAAGTACTGCACTGTTTGTATATATATTTATAAAATGCTAAAAAGGCCTCCCCCTCCATTCATTGGATCTTGTCGCAACACATCATGTTCCAACATAAATGTACAAGCACTGCAGTTCATCATTCCAGCAGTCATTCACAGCAGCAATTCACTGCTTCATAAGACCAGGTGTGCAGTGCTAACACGTCATATTCATTTAAAATAAATAGATCCACGCTCTTACAAACTTTCTTCTGCCCAGCCTTGTTCCCTTGTCTGTGTGCTCTTCATACTCGCTCTACTCCTCCTGAGGTGCTCACTTGCACCGTGTCTACCCATGTCTACCATCTAATTCTTTTTGACAGTCGACCCATCTTTTCATTCTTTCAGCATGCCTAACCCATCTCGGTATGCTCTCAGTGTTGCCATTTATTGATTTTTGCGGTGCTACATAGCCTTCCCGGTTTGGTGCCTTCTTTTGATAATTACTTACTTATTGATTTTTGCACTCTCCTCACCATATTTTTTTATTCCTTATTTTATGCTTTCATAACTTATCATTTTTCATTATTTGTTCATTATCATGCTGATAAACTGTGTTTTACATTTGTTTCTTGACAAGAGAATAATTATAATGTATAGATCTAAAGGTGTTTCTTTGTTTTAATAATTTTTTTTTTTTGTAATTGTTTTCATTATATTTGATATGTACTTCATTGTTCATGTGTGTGTGTGTCTTTGTGTGTGTACTCAAACTTACAACGGGTAAGTTCACATCTTATTGGGTCAGTCTCTGGTGACCTTCCACATGGGCCTTAAAAACAAACCAATGGAACCTGGATTGTTGGATGTAACGAAGCCACAAAATCTTTCACTAGCTCTTCAAATAGACTCCAATAATTTGTTGAAACTTTAACATTTAATATAAAAAAAGAAAAAAAGAAAAATTTGAAATTAAAGTTGTAAAAGTTTGGTTTGCTGTGACTACATGCGATTCTTCCAAATGTCAGACAAATTTGTTTATCAAATGTAAGTTTTTATTTTCTCATTTTTCAGGTTATCGTTTGGTCTTTTAAAGTAGAATAACAGGTGTGTAAATGCTCATAAATGGGCTTTAAGATTAATTATTTGGCAGTTTCTGGTGCCTCAGAAACCAGAGAGCCAGTATTAGGTAAGCAAAACCATGTACAATATAAATTAAAAATTATCCCAAAGCAGATCTTAATGCTGCGGTGTTTACAGGAGCAAGCCACCAAATGTGGGGGTGGGTAATGCTTGTATGTAGCCATAGCAAAGGGTTGGTTAACACTGGGACTGATATTTTGGATCGTGTTCGTAATTGTGATGATAGAGAATGAAGGGCATGCCTAGCTAAATAGTCGTTAAGTCATTACTGTATATGGAAATGATTTCCTTTCCCTACACACATGCACTGCCTCAATCTCGTACTCAATTCCTTAACCTTTTTGTTCTGATATTCAACTGGACAAAAAGCATGATTTGGTCCATCAGTGCAATATTTGACCTGGGGCCCCTATTGTGTAGAAAGTTCCTACATCCTGTAAATATTTAGCAAACATCTGGCTTGTATAAAGAAATTTGATCCCCATGTGGTTGATCAGAAATTACCCTCCACACACTAAGCATTCACACTTGCCTCTTGCAGGTTTTGTACATAATATATATATACAGTATTATATGTCTTGTAAAAATTTTATTCAGGACAATATAGTACAGTGTGTATAAAATTAAGTGACTACTTTTTTGGTTTAATTTGTTACTATTTATGTTCAAGACTTAAGAGTGCTAAAATAAATAATACAGCAGTAAATATGAAAATGATGGGGTTTCCGCGTTGATTTACCGCCGTAGCTTCTTGGCCTTGTGCACTGGACTTGTTCGGACAAACCACTTGCTCGACCCATCTTCAACTCGTCCTCACACTAGGCTGTTTAAAGCAGCGGCCGTCCTTCCCCAGATGCATTCATTAATTTTAACATAATGTGTATTCAAAATTGGTTTGTTCTCGTATGTAAATTAATATTCTTATAAATAAAAATTCTATGTATAATTAGGCATAGGTTAGGGGTTTAGGTTCCGTTAGTGATTATTTGAATTTGAAGTACTGTACGTGGGTGAAGCATTTATAGAATTGTAGTTCGAACAGAGGACGTGAGCGAAGCACTTGTTCTGAAAGTGTTCGGACATTATCAGTTGCGAGTCGTGTGCAAACCATTTTTCATTCTTAAACGGGGTTTGGCAGCTGGATTAACGAGCTTGGATCTTTGTATGCGTGGACGGGGTTAAAATCTTTCCTCAATCATAACACCTTAGCTTACATTTATTAAATAGTTTGAGCTCAGAAGCACACTGAGGTTGTTTATAACAATCTTGGATTGTGAAGCCTTGAAGCTCATAAACTACTTAATGAATGTAAATGAAGCTGCCATGAATGCTGAAAGATGTACAGGTTTTGGAAGTGGATGCGTAAATGCTTGATGAATCCTGGATGTAGCTAGAGTGAGTAGTCCTAGGGAGCAAACCACAATATATTCGCAAATGGTCTTATTCAACTATTAATGGGGTTTTGGCAGCTCAGAGAATGTTTCAGACAACCATGAGGTAACCATTCATTATAATGAACAAGGCATTCTTCAACTTGATTGAATTTTTTTTTATTTTAGCAAATCTTGGCAATTCATAATTCACCAAAATTTGCTCTTAACCTAATGAATTGACATGTAATTAACCCAATTACCACCAGATGGAAGGTTAGCTCATTATGCCTGGTGCTTATCGAGACTCAACCCAGCATGGACAGAAGTCTCAGATGGATAAATTCTGTGCGTTTCATACTGAGGTGCTCATTCAGTCTTGGTTGGATGGCCGTGTGCTGAACTCGGTACCAGGTGTTATGTATTGAGGACCATGAAGATATTGTTTTTGTTTGCATTTTCTGTGGCTATTCTCATTAATAGGTATTGAGTTTAGGTGAGAGCCAGCCAATTATATTTCTGGCTAGCCTCCCATCCTGGGAACTAACCTAGGTTGTCTTCAGGAAGGTATGTGTACCATGTAACTACTTTTTGACGTTATAAAGATAACCCGGTCTTATCCAGAGCCTGAATCTGCAGTTAGCAGTTTCCAGGTATGTAAATCTGTGTTTTATGATCCTGGTATGTCATTCTCTGTCTCCTCCCCCCCCCCCCCAACATGCATTTTGTTACGTTCATGGCTTTTTGACTCACAGGTGTGCGAAGTCTGCCAAAGATGGATGCCAGTCTTGGCTGAGCTTTGTGGCTCGGCAGCTTATTGAGGCAGTGGCTTGTTTATGATATAGGAATTTGCACTCTCCTTTTTTACCTAGCAGGGAGGGAGAGAGCTCTTTCTAATTTTATGAAAAGGATTTTGTGTGTTAGTTCTTTCTACATGTACACACACTAATTGTTGGTGCTCCTCCTAGTTTGGTCAGTAATTTTTTGGGCCTGTAAATCTTTGTCTGGTTTCCCATCCTTCTCTGCTGCTCAAGGTTCTGATGGTATTGGCTCGCAGATGCATAGGCAGTGGCTGGGCTGTTAAGTGGGAAGGTGCAGGTGTAACGGGGGTGGGGGAAATAGCTCTATCTTGTCCATTATTCCACCCCCCAGTTAACTAACGAGGCCGGGGGAAACGGCTCTCTCTAGTCCGTTATCCCGTCCCCAATTAGCTAACTATTCTAGCGCACTCCCAAAGTTCCTAAGGCAACCGCTCTCATTCAACACCTTGTAACCTAAGTATTTGACTACCTAGGTGCTAAGACTACAAGGCGCCTTAACTTGATCAGTTACCCAAAACTCTAGAGAGAACTCTAGAATACCTTTCACTGCCACCAACGTATAAGAGAAAACGAAAGGAAAGAAATGAATAGTGAAGTAATGAGTGAGGGTTTGGGGTGAGAGGTAGGGAGGTGGGAGGAGCGAGGAGGGTCATTAGTTGAAAGTGAGAGTTTAGAGAGGGGTGGAGGGAGAGGTGTAGATAGGTAGAAGTAGAAGAGTAGATAGTAGAAGAGTAGGTAGTAGAAGACGAAATGCTGCCACCATCCATTCTAGATCATCACATACAAGACAAGGAATGGAACTTGTCTGTATCACAAATATTCACAAAAGATGTTATCAAGGTCATTATTAGTATGTCCCATCTTTCATGTACTCAGTAAAATCATGGAACCAATAATCCCAGAGGCTTTCTCACCTCAACTCAACTCTAGGGGACACAAAGGCAATTTAAATAATAAATTCAATTATATTTCACATACTAAGTATCATAATTTAAGCAATGTTCAATGTTCAATGTTCAAAGATCTATATATGTAAAGTGAGTCATCCTCCAAGAATCTGAGAACACTACAACTGACTGCCCCTGATCATCACACAACATATGTAAACACGACCAAGTCACCTTAATGTTCAACTCGCCAAGTGCCTGCCTATAGTTGGATAGAGAGGGGGGGGGGGAGTCTGCAGCTGTCAGGCAGCTTCACCCCCGTCCGACCGACAGCCTGTCTCGGCTGTTGTCGTCCTGCTCTGCTGCCTGGTCTTCTGTCTGTCTTGTTAATGCTCTCGAATCGATAGCTCTCCGAGTATATATTGGGGAACCTAGTAGCTAACTCCGCCCACAAGTAGATAGCCTCCGGCTCTCTCCCAAGCCACTCCTTAAACATCGGCATGTTTGAAGGCTACCAGGCTCCAATTATAAGATTAGTAGAAGTAAGGTGAAATTCACATGATCTGGCCTCAGGTCACTTGGGGTCATTAACTCTTAGAGGTGTGAAACTCAGGCCGACCAAGCTGGCGCCTTCTCAAATCCTTGTATGCGACTCGTGTATCTCTATGTATTTTAAATACAACTAAACCAAACACTTTTACAGTGTTACACAGGGACTGCCACCCATGCTACTATATCAGGAGATGCAAAACTTGCAACATACCCACCTAGTCATTCCTTCTTTCTTTGGAGTTTTATGATGTTGCCACATCTTCCCATTTTGCCCAGATTGAAGAGTGGGGGTTATCCGAGGCTGGGTTCCAAAGGCTCGCCCCTCTTCGGTGGTTGGAAAAAAAGAAGCAAGTTTATGGGGGATGCTGAAGATGTTTACCGATTTCCATTCATTCCAACTTGGGTGTTGGTTACTAAATCTAGATTTTTTGTTAGTGAAATTTTTTTTTGCCTTAGGAATTTGAGCTCAATTCCTCCAAAACTACTTCTCAAGTGTTTTTCATCCCTTGAGATAAAGGAATGCACTCATGCTATGCAGTTTTTTCTCTCCTGTACCACCTACCTCTTGTTCAAGTTTGATGGAACTTGCTTTTATTCCTGCTTCTGAGTAGGAATGGTACACCTGATCTAGATCCATACCAACTTTGAGTATAGTCCTTTGCTACTTTCTGGTTGTTGATGGGTCTTACCTCATGGATTTCAGGCAGCCCATCATTTCATTGAGACAATAGCATTCCATTTAAGTTGGCATGCTACCCAGTCCCTAAACCTCGGGTGGGGCATTACACTTGCTGCTTTAGGCCTCTTCCCTTTGGGCTCGACCTGGTGTCTAGGCCATTCACTAGATTAACAAAGTTAGTCCTTTGAGAGCTTTTGCTGTTGAAAGTCCATGTCCTAGCCTTCCTGAAGGATCTGTTTGGGCTCCCAGTTACAGTATACTTGTCTACTAGCCAGGGATCTGGTATCAAGTGTGCTGAGGCAGTGTGGGCTTGCACAGTTTGAGATTCAGCAGCTTAGCAGTCAGTGCACTCAATGGTTTGAGACACCAGCATCAACAGCCTACTTTGCCAAAACCCTGGAAACTTGCCATATTACTGGATGATGTACTGGCCAATTATATCACCTCCAAACTTGTACAACAACAACACCAATACTGTATATACAAACTGGTAGAGGACAGGCCACTCATCTCTTATCTTTCAGGAAGCTGGGATGGAGTGAAGATTCCATAGAAAGTGGTGAACAAAGGAATGATGGCAATGATTTTTGAAGAGGGAGTAAGTGTTCAGTTTATATATAAAAACTTGAGCATTGTATATTTTATGAAGTGGTGAGGTACTGCTGTAGATGATTCACAGGAGTGTGATGAAGCTGGATCTCTGTGATACTATAGTTTGTGTAAGTAATAGGGAGTCAGATGTCACTAGCATCTCTAGCCCTATTTTTCCAATATTGCTCTTGATTTTTTTGGACTAATGCCTTCCCCATCCCACAAAAGTGGGAAATGAGGTAATGATTATGGAAATGGTTTACATTTGAGTTGATAGTGTAGAAGATGTGTAGAATATAATTACATGGTATTTTAATTCCAAATTGGCTGGAAAATTTTGCCTGGAAATATCTTAAGTGCAATGATGTAAATTTTATTCATAATACAAATGCTGAAACTTAAAGGTTCCTGTCTTAAATTTCAGGGCAATCCTCCCTCCAATGGAGATTCCACGCACACATGTTCCTGTATTATAGACCAAATTTTTACTGGTGGACTCCAGTCTGATGTTGTGTGTCAAGCATGCAAGTGAGTAGAATGTTTTGGTGAGCAGTTTGTAGATATGAGCTAGTAGCCCTAGGATGCTTTCGAGCAGGAGCCAAGTGATCTCGCCAAGTGTGCACATCGACCACCTTTCTCTCTTTGACACACACTACCCATGGCAACGAGGAACATCCACTGAACAAGTTCACTATAATAAAAATCAGTCATGTGCCTCCTCTTTGCACGGGTCATTAGGAACCCAAGTAAAGTCACTGATTGCTCAGTAAACTACTTGTGTAGTAACCAGGCGTTACTTTAACTACTATTAAGTAGCAGCATGGCTCAAAGAAACAAGACCGTAGGCGCCAGCGTACCTTATTTTTTGCTTGTTTACTCGACTGTCTAGGCTCTGAAATGACGTCAATTAAGCTTGATTGCTTTTGCCTTGGAACCGTGTCATGGAATTCGCCTGTGCAAAGACTTCATTGTTTGTAGTATGATGTACCAATTGTTTGTAAGCCACTGGGTATATGTATTTTCTAAAGCGTTGTTTGAAGATTTTTTTAATTCCAGAGTTATCTTCTCTGATGGCATTTGGCTGTTCCTTCATCATGGTTCAACTGCTCTTGTGACTGGATTTTAGCCTTGGGGTTTAGTCTAGGACTTTGCTAATGTGGTTTTCAATGACATGATTGTGTTGCTGTTATACATCCTCAGTGTAACTCAGGTGGAGGCTACATTCCTTGACACCTTCCTGTCCATGAGCTGGTATGGTGCAGTCATCTCTGGTATACATTAACATGTTGGCCTGACTGTACCATTGTGCACATTGAGTGTTGAAGTGGTTTGCTTCAAGCTTTGTGTTGCTTCTTGTAAGTCATACAACCCATAGAGACATGGGTTCCTGCTGAGGCTTGCTGCCTTTTCCATTTGCGGGTAATGCTTTTGTGCATCTATGGCTTTGGCCTTTCATGTGTGAAATTATATTTTGTCCTGTCTCTTCCATTATTCTGCCTATGTTGACATGATGGAAATGAAGTGTAGTGTGCCTTGTCTGTGTAATCATACCACTTTTCCAGGTTTGCAAACTTCTTTCAGGTTTCAACATTTCATTAGTCAACCCTCTTGAGATATCTTGAGATATCTTCTTGAGTTGGGTTTTCCCACTTCTTGGGCAGTTTTCACAAATGGAGGCTGGTTTTCTTTTGATCCTTTAGTCCATTTGCTCTCCAATGTTGCCCACATTTTGACGTTTTCTTGGGTTTGACTGGGTATCCTGGTGGGTGTGTGGCATCATTTTGGCTTCCTGTCACCTGGGCTAATTACTGGAACAATCTGGTTCTTTAATTCTGATTTCTGTATGCATTAGAAAATTGCAAACGATGAGTTACAATAACGTGGCTGATGTGTGATCAAACCACACACCAGGAAATAGACGATGAAATTTTGGTCTGTCCTGGACCATTATCAAGTGGACAAATTACGTGATAATGGTTCAAGACGGACCGAAATGTCGTCGTCTTCATCTTCTTGTGTGTGATTTAGTCATCCATAGAAAATTGATTTGGGGAACATCAGAAGGGCCCTAGGTCTAAAATAGGGAGTAGAGTACTGTACTAACATGTTGAAATACAGTATTCTTTTCCGAGACGCTCTCTCGCATGTTCCAGTTTCTCCATTTTTGCCTAGATATTCCTGAGTGTGCTTGTGTGACTGGCACTTCAAATGTAGTACTGTATAGTATGTCTGATTCTCCAACCTTGCTATTGTGGTCTATACTGCCATCTAGTGGTGGTTGGAATAACACTTGGTTATTAACATGTAGTATGCAGAGCAATACGTGTTTTTTTTTTTTCATTGTCAATGATCACTTGCTGGAAAGACGAGGATTAAAATTTTTTTGGTTTTATGGCAACCTAAATTGGACTTCCCACACTTTCATTCATTCCTTAGCTACTTGAAAATATCATTAGAAATATTCCCTCCTGTGATGTGGGGAGAAAAGTCGATGTGTGCTTGGTGGTGGTGTGTATAGTGGGCCTGTATATAACTGTGTTTGCATTTCTAAAAAACGAATTTCTATATAAAAATAAAGGTAGCTTGGGGAAGCACTGTGGGACTGGTTCAGAAAAGTGCATAATGATACTGTACTGAACACCATATACTAAAGATTGTTTTTTTTTTTTTTTTTTTTTACTATTATTAATAATGTGGTATGTAAGTTTTGTTTGACAATAAGCAGCTAAATTTGTTGTGTGTAAAAGTTGCTTTCATTTTAGTTCATAGCTATCACTATTGTTTGTTAACTATGTGGATTATAACCCAAAGCTTTGACAAATGGTTCTATTTTGGGGAAGTAGGGTTAAAGTACAGTACTCTGTTTGCTTCAGCATTTCATTGTTTTGAAATGTAATATAGTAATTTGCTAAATGAAGAATTTTGTTTTATATGCTGGTTGATATAATTGAAAGTTCAAATGTCTTCAGTATCAGGTTTTTAATGATTTTCAGTGGAGTCTCGACTACGATAGATCCGTTTTGGGATATTTCTCTGGATTTGGGACCGTGTCCCTATGGTACAAGCAAAGCAGACAAAACTGTTCCCACCTCTCTTGCAGATTGCTTAGATCGGTTTACTCGACCTGAGCACTTAGGTAAGTTCACTTGAAGGATGACCTTTACTATTAAATACCCTTGATACAGCTAGTACAGTACGTATATCGAATTTGATAATTAATGAATTGTATGTAAAAAATATACGCATGCATGCATGCATGCATGCATGCATGCATACATAGTATAATTATATACAGTATACAGTATACTGTTACTCAAAAATTCACTGCCTGTGCAATATATGGATAACACCTTTATCTGCTTGAAACTTAAGATATATATCTGTTATATTTATAACAGGGTTTAAAAACAAAAATTAAATCAGTTGCAAGATATAACTTTAAACATTGATACGTCTCCCTTATTTATTGATTTTATTACGCTGGTGCGTTGCTCTTCAAAGAGACTTAAAGCCATATTTTTTGAGCAATGCTTTTCAGCATTGGATTCTTTGATGTGTGCTTGAAATGAATTTAAATCTCAGTTAACATTACATTCAATTATATAGACGAGTCGTGTTGTGTAATACGTACAATTTTTGTTATTTTAGGCAGCAGTGCAAAAATTAAATGTAGCGGGTGTCAAAGCTACCAAGAGTCCACAAAGCAACTTACTATGAAGAAACTTCCTATTGTGTGTAGTTTTCATCTCAAGGTAAGTGTTACATGTAATCAGTGTAGATGAAAAGTCACAATAACGTGGCTGTGAAAGCAAACCAATCAACCCATTTCAACATTTCTTTTTATCTATGGTTGTTGGGTTATTAATAAGTATGATATAGCGATGACTTCAAACACGATACATGAATCAATAGTTCATTCATATTGTTACACTGCTTTAAATTATAGTGTAACCTTACAACATGTTTACAGTTGTTAGTTACATGAATTGGGTAGGTTTGCACATGTGACTTGACCTACAGTAATGTTGGCTGATTTTAGAGTTTATAGTAAGAATATACATGTCTGACTTAAGACTCTTAATGATATATTTATTGACCTGATGACTCTGTTCTCTAAAATTTGGTTATTGTATTTTATCTACTCAATTTAGCTTATTCAGATCACACAGATAGGTTCTGCAATTCTTATCCGGAGACGCACATGCAATACTATTAAATACCTTCGCCATAATTTTGTGACCTAATGGCCGAATTCACACAATAAAATTAGTTAGTGTTTCTTAAGGATTTGGGGAAATTTATTACTGGACAATGTGCAGATACCTATATACTGTAACTCAAACTTTTAATGGATATTCGTTTCATTTTGGCACAGCGAGTGCTGAAGGTTTAATGTCTTGTGCCTGCCTGCTGTGTTAGTTATTGTGAATCGAAGGTTACATTACACATTAGAGAGATCTGGTCAGTACATCCAACCTGATAATATATGCATTATTGTGCCCTGGTCAGTACATTTAACCTGATATTTTATACTTTATTGTGCCCTGAGTAATGTTAAAACATTACTGTACACCAAAAGTGTGTGTGTGTGTATTTTCTTGAGCATATTTCATTCTGAGCATGGGTGAGGTGATGGGCCACAAAAGTGCTAATTATTTATACAGTATTTCTTAAAACGTGTCAATGTTTATTAAATAATTGAAACTCGCTGTTTAGATACCAAACAAAGCATTAAAGGTTGTTTGTTCAGATTTACTGGAATTCATTAATCATATTTTATACCTCGGTCATAGGTTTTGTTTTAAGAGATTAGATTTGTCATAAATTTCCTCACTTTCCTTCTGTATGACTTTGGGCATTCTTCCCTGCATGGCCATTAAATTGTCACATTATTTCATTGGGGGTTTGAATGCAACACTTTGTATATGCTGTGTACACGTATGCATTTTAGGGCCATTTATAATAAAGTATTGCTTAACCTGCATGGACCGTGTGGTCTAGACAAATGGGGAAAAACTGCTCATAATAGGATAATTGTCTGTTCTTTGAATAAAATTTTGGATTGTATCTGAATATTTTCTGAAGTGTACCCGTAATCAAAGAATGACAGGCTAGCAAGCAAACAATTGAGTTGACGGTATTGGTGAATTCCAGTTATCCAAAGTCCAGATAATGAGTTTTATTGTATGTAAAGAATTAGTCACAATAATGAGGCTGATCTTTGGTTGATCTGTGGAACAAATTATGTACTGGGTAACATAACAGATGTGGGACCATTCAATTGTTCCAACTGTTGGTTAGCATAAATGACAAGTTTGGGTGCATATAAATAAGGAGCAGTCTTGTATGGGCCAATAGGCCATCTGTGATTTCATTTATTCTTATCATCTAATGGTCTTAAATAACCCAATAACCCCTCACATGAAAATAAACAAAAGTGATGACATCGTAATCTATCCAGACTCGCTGATGTGGGTCCTAGGTAGTCCGAAATGTCTTCTTTATTTTGCATGTATTGGTTGGATTATTTATACTGTATACATATTTTATTGTCCTATACCATATTTTATGAAGCTGTTGTGGCTTTTACTGTCAAAATATCTCGTGTAATAATGCAAACTTTTTATTAACATTTTCAGAGATTTGAACATAGCAACAGGTTACACAAGAAGATTTCCACATTTATCTCCTTTCCTGAACATTTGGACATGACTCCATTTATGTCTAACAGAAGAAACAACAATAATAACCATAACGGTGTTACGACACATCCAACTGATATTAATAATAGGCAAGTTTGTATTTGTTTTAATGCATGTTTTATACAGCAGGAGAGGTGCACTGAAGTGTTTGACAAGTGCAAAGGTGCATTCACAAGTAACTAAAATTGATTTGTATAATTGCAAAAATAACTATAGAGGTAAAAATGTATTGTAGAAGAATAATAAAAGCTAATTTTTTTAAGTAGGCTTTGTTGTGTTGGCATCTCTGAAATTTGTGATTTTCAGATAGAAATGTTATGTAGTTGACATTTTTATTTAATAATGTAGGGAAACATGACTATAGTCTTTGGTATTCCTCTTATAATTTCACACATTTTTTATATTTTTTTTGCAGGTATTCTCTATTTGCAGTAGTAAATCATGTAGGGAACTTAGATGCCGGTCACTACACAGCGTATGTGCGTCAGCACCGCGACCAGTGGTACAAATGTGATGATCATATGATCACTCGAGCAACCATCCAGGATGTGCTTCAGAGTGAAGGGTTAGTAACGCTGAAATGGCACAACAGATGGAATTGTAATTTGGGCACTTAAGTGAGGTGTAGAACAGCAGAGTGGTGGTTGGTATGTCGGGTATTACAATGATTAGTCAGTCATGCATCATCATCATCAAAAGTAAAGGCTTTGCCAGGAGATGCCTTTCTTTGGTTGCTACACCCCCAGCATTGGGTAGGGTGGAGTAACTTCGTATGGAATCCCGGAAAGGGCTTTCTTGGTTAGATTTTACCCTGTCGTTCATTCTTGAATCTGCTTCCACTGTCGGTCATTGGGCTGCCATTGCTCTGTGTAGGTAATAAACTGCTCACTCTTATTACTTTCGCGGTCTGGCCTCTACAAGTTTTTGAGCGTAAATGTTGTGGGCTGTCCGCTCCACTCGTGGGTCACTCAGTTGTGGGAAGGTTTTATACAAATTTACATTTTAGTTATTAGTTTATGGCAATAAATTTGGTCTCAATGTTGGCAAATAAATTGTCTGGAGAATAGATGCAAAAACAAAAGAGAATTTATAGTAGTTTATGCTCCTCTCTGCTCATTCTTGAATGTAAACATAGGGTGCTTGGCAGGTCCTATTCAGCAGTATACAAAAACAAAAACTTGTACAAGAAAACGCTTACAATCATTTCATCTTTTTTGAGTTATTTGTTATTCTATAAATTTGGCATCAAAATGTTCACAAATGAATACTGTTAGAGAACAGATGCAAAAAAGTCTATTTATAATAGATTATGCAGGACAGCAATGATTATACAAATGATTTGTGAATAACAGTTGGCCTACTGTACGTGTTTTAGTGTCATCAGAATGAAAAAATGTTGTAAGTAATCTATTTCCCTTGGCTGCCCTCTTACTACTTTGATAGATGGCGGGAAACGGTTTTGGCTAGGTTGTGTGTCACTCACCTGTCGAGTTCTTGGTCACTTGCCAGAATGCTGTCCAAACTACAGTGTCCCTCTTATAGTTGTGAACTGCCTTGTAGAATGTCCTGATTTTTGGGACGAGTGTGTGTTTTGCTAATTTTTGATTATTACTTACTCTTTATATACACACACAATCATTTATATACAGTATTATTTGTATGTCTGAATGGGCTGAAACTTGTACAGTATTAGTATATACTATATATGTATACTATAAGAAAAATCCATATTTTTTGTCATAAAAAAAGAATGTGTTCCTTATTACATAGTACTTTTTCATCCTTTCTTGGCAATTGCCTTTATACCACATCAAGTGGAGAACAGAGTATTAATAGTGATGATATAGCTGTAGTAACCTTACAGATGGTCATTATTTCACTCGGAATCAATATACAGTTGCACAATTGCATTTTTTTTTTTTTTCAGATACCTCCTTTTTTATCACAAGCAAATACTAGAGTATGACTGAATGGCTTGCATGCAACAACCACTGGATATGATGAACTTCAACCTCTGTAATCTCAGCTGACTTCTGAACGTCTTCATTGTTATCCTGCTAACTTGGAATGGAATGCAGGGAATGCGTTTCATGGTAACCAACAGATCTGGTCATTCTGCAAGTTGTGACGACAAACCTATGAATGTAATTTATAAAATGACAACTCTTAGGAAAAAAAGATGTACCAAAGGTTCGTATAATGAAGCCAGTATAGACCTTGAGGAGGAAATTACTGCATTCAGGAGTGATAGCGGAATAGGTGGCAGAGATTTCAGAACATTTTGTAATTGCCTCTTTTTGTAGTTTGTACTATACTTGCAGAGGGAGACCAAAGGCTCTAGCTTTTGAAGATAATCAGGATGTCACAGTGTTTACTTTTTACTTTATATAGCTGAGGGATTTTCACCAAAGTTTGGTGATAATTTCAATCTTAATTTGTCTTCCATGACTTAACAGGAGGTAAAGGTGTAAATTGGATCTAGTCCTCAGTACATAAATGTTCCACTATGGTTCTGGAATGTAAACGCAAAAGGTTATCAGGTATTCCGAGCTTCTTAAGGTGATAGTAATAACAACTTACTTTCGTTGCAGATTGAAAGTAAGAATTAGGGCTTGGTGTTGAAGGTAGATATGGTGATCTCTTGGCAAAGGATCACTCTGCAACCACCACCATTGCTGGCCTATGTACTGTCAGTGCGTAGCTCTTAAAGTAAGCATTGGCACGTTGATCTATACGTCAGTCTTGGGCATAGCAGGTGTAAAAATGTCATGTAACTCGGTTGGGCAACTTTGTAGGATAATGCCATCAGCTTTCCATTTTGTTTCAAGGATGAGGAGCTGTTGAAAAGTTGTTCTAGGTATTGAGAAGCTATTGTTAGTTTAAGACTGCTGAATTTGCTAATTTTGAAGGAGTAACTTTATTAGTGCACACTCTTTTTAATAAAACCTCTGCTGACATGGTACATTAACTTTGGTTTTGCCTCTGATGGTATGAATGTTTTATACACTTCAAACAGTATTATGGGCATTTTGTGTGTACAGTTTATTTGTCATGTCCATGTCAAAAGTATATTCTTATTACTTACGTTGAATGACTACTTAAAACTACAGGTATTAAAAGCCAAAGTATGAGAAATTAAGGCCATATTACACTGCTATATTTTTTCTAATCTTGTGTACAACTTGAAGTATCATGCAAAAGAATATTGAGAAATGTTAAGGGTAACCGAATACCTTGAAAAATGATCTAAGTACAATAATTGTATTTTCCAAGTTGTACAGAAGATTAATGGATAGTATGGCCTTGCAACACAGCCCTCGGAATGTTTTGAGTCGCAGCAAGGTGCTCAAGCAGCGGCCTTGTTGAATGTATCACATTCAAAGGCATTAACATTGTCCCACCTCATGAGGCCGTAGTACAGTACAGTGCACAGATCATTTGTGTACAGAAAATACAGTGTAAGAGATGATTTGTGTGTAAATGTTGTCAGAAGTAATATTCATTTCTATGTTACCAGTGATTTGGAAAGCTGGCAATGGTATGTATGTATACATAAAGTATTGCATTAAGGTAATTATGCTGGTACTTTTAAAAGTCGGCCAATTCTATTTAGTTATACTTTGCCGATGATGGATTCTGCAAAGTATCATAGGGAACCTGCCGGCATCATTGCGTGCAATCCTCTAGAACTGTAAGTAGGCTTTTGTACTCTTTTTTGTAAATGCCTCTGGTTAGATAGTTACCATATTTTTCTTCTAATTGATACCTTTTGCACAGGACAGATTTAAGACTGTTAGGTGCTTTGTCACACAATTAGCTTTTAAAGTGTGTCAATCAAATATGGTAAGTCATGGTAATTGTCTCATGCTCTTGAATGTATGGATGTAGTTATGTATTCATTTAAAGTGATTCATCAAAAAAATTCCTCTCCGTGCGAACTTCATCACTACCTGAGTTTGACTAATGATTACGAATGACGTTAACTGACAGTGTAATGCAGTTGTAAGGGAATGGCACCTGTAAATTTGATGTGTGTGTATGTGTATGAATGTGAAGTTTGTATGTTTGGAAAATGTGTGTGACAAGAAAATGTTAAGGAATAATATTAATTTTAATTTGAAGTACATGTCAAAATTTGTAGGTAAAAGTGGTGTAGATTATGGTATGCTTGGAGAATGTGACAATCAACTGGCAGAGCTGGTTTAACTGAATTTGAAGTCTTAGTCTGTTTAATATTTTAAGTACAGTACTGGAATTAATCTTGACAAATATACTTTTATTAATTTTTGTTTTTAAACATTATATTTAGGGTTTAAAGTAAAAATCCTAACTTCTGAATAATTTTGATATGCAATATATTATTTTGGTAAACTCTATGGGGTCCTTTAAAGTTAGTCTATAGTTAAAAATAAGTTCAATAACTAGTGCTGGTAAGAAAACACGGTTGAACACACTCACGTAATTGCCTATTTTTATGGTTATCAAAAATCAAAACTGGTCGCCTTAACTTGGATATTAATGCCCATCCTAATTCTGGCTGCATTTCGTTCTGCAGCTTATAAATACTGGCTTTCTGGATTTCAAGATTAGTATTTTAAGATTGCAAATTGTTTATTTCCCGAGAGCTCGAGTTGACAGATTTTCACTTCTGGCATCTTGCACTAGCAAGATAAACATCCTCCCAGTGTTATAGTTGCACAGCGTAAAAAGTATGTGCAAAAATAAAAAAATTTATTGAGTAAATTTCAGGTAATCATCTGTGGGAATGAATTCACATTGCTTAGGCTGCAAATTGGGATGATTTCCTGCCCCTCAATAACACTGAATGGTATTGGAAATAGTCTGTATTGCAGTCATAAGTGTCTTAAAAGATTATTTGGTGAAGTGTTGGAAGTGTGTGTTGTAACTAAATTAATTTCTCTTTTTACGAATGGTGATTAAATTTATTATTGACACAGTTTGTGATTATACATGATATTTTAAATTATGTAATACCTGTATTTGCTTTTAGTTATTGTATTAGAACATTTTAATTTTTTTTGGCTTTAGCTAACTAAAACATCTCTAAGAGTGATTAAACTCCCAGGCTATTAAAAATAAAAACATTTAATTTGAAAGTATGTCAAATACTGTATAGTGGAATTAAGGGCTTGGGATCTGATTTACAGTCAGTAGAATTTATTCAATTGTTTAAATAAAATCAAGATGTTAAATATAAAATACAACTATTTTCTGTAATGTGGAACTAAATGCGTATTAAATAGCATGTATTTGGCCATTATGGCCTTAACAGTAAATTACGTATTGCCAAATTTGACTTTATAGCAATTATTAGGGACCTTAATGTCCAGTCATTAATGTCAAATGCAGTGTCAGTATTTTGTATACTTTTAATGTCAGGTTTTTGCTGTTGCTATAAAGGGCTTTTCTATGTTCTTGCATTTATTCTGATGCTTTTAATGTTCCAGCTTGCTGAAATGATTCCAATGAATGAGTACGTTAGCAAAACATACATATCATTTTAAAGCGAGAAATTGAGGATTATGAAATCAACACCAGTATTCTTTACTGGATTGGGGAGGAAAAGAAGGAGAGTGAATGTGGAAAACATTTTTCCAGCCGTGAGCCAAGTGCATGCAAGATATATAAATGAGTGAAATGTGTGCGTGCAATAAAAAGTTGCGAATGAAAGGGTTCTAGATGCAGATTCTTTAGGTTCATATATTACTTTCCCCACCCCCCATGAGAAAACATGGCCGTGGTAGTGTTGCTGCAACGTGTTTTGTCATTTTCACTGTCTTCAGTGTTTTCTGCATTGAGATGGAATCCTTCCAAATCAACAACAGTTCCGGGGAAAACTTAATGTACAAATCTTTGAGAATCCGAGTCTTGATTTGGTTGTGAGCGAGAAGAGCGCGTGCAGCCTTAGCTTGTACTACCACCACCACGTGACCAGCCACTATCTGTGATAAATGCCAGGACACACTACCTGGCCCTCATGTCATGGCTCAGTCTTAATAAACTTAAGTCACAGTCTGCTTTAGTTTGATTTACTCTTACCACAATGTTGGGAAAATCGGCTTTTCTACTTTAATATTTAAATAAGCTGTTTACCATTTTTTGTTGATCCCTCTTGTACACCACAGTGTGGCGAGGGGGTCATTTGCACACCATTGCTGGGCTGTCAAGGGTGGCTTCCTATTCATTAAACCACTGAATAGTTCTCCTTTATGGTGGAGAGGGCTTGCAAGCGACTCACGGAGTCCATTGGGGATGCTCCTACCATTCTGGGCGTTGTATTGTATGTGCAAAGGAACCAATGTAGGGTTCCCGTTCAGGTCATCAGATCACTAACTGGAGGGGTTACGACCCCTTGCTTGTGAGGGGTCGTCCTTGGTGGTGGGTTTGGATATCCGGGCTGGGGTTATCTTGAGATGATTTCAGGGCTTAGTGTCCCTGCGACCCGGTCCTCGACCAGGCCTCCACCCCCAGGAAGCAGCCCGTAGCAGCTGTCTAACTCCCAGGTACTTATTTTCTGCTAGGTAACAAGGGCATCAGGGTGAAAGAAACATTTTGCCCATTTGTCTCCACCTCCACCGGGGATCGAACCCGGAACCTCAGGACTACGAATCCGAAGCTCTGTCCACCCAGCTGTGACGCGGGGTGAGAGGGAGAAGTCTTTGCACCAATGTTGGAAAATGTACAATACCGTAGGATCCCTGTTGAAAAGTGGGTGCACAGCTTGGGACGACACCCTATCCTGCATTGGCCAATGCCCGTTATCCCTCTCTTTTTGAGATTGAGAGATATATACAAGAGTTGTTACATTCTAGTACAGCCACTAGTACGCGTAGCGTTTCGGGCAGGTCCCTGGAATACGATCCCCACCGCGAAGAATCGTTTTTACAACCAAGTACACATTTTACTGTTGAGTTAAACAGAGGCTACAGTTAAGGATTTGCGCCCAGTAAATCCTCCCCGGCCAGGATACGAACCCATGACAAAGCGCTCGAGGAACGCCATGCGAGTGTCTTGCCACTGCACCACGGGGATTGGTAACCTGGTCTCTGACCTGGCAAGTGGCATCCTTTGGCTCCGAGGCCCAAACTTGGAAAAACATGGTAAAAGAACTCTTCTAGAAATTGGGGAGTTTAATCCTTATTCACTAGTTTTCTTGGAATACGGCCCGCCAATCTTTTAACAAGTAGATACACAATTACTGCTGGGTGAACAGAGGCATATAGTCAAGGACTAGCTAGGTTAGTCAATCCTCCCAGCTAGGATACGAACCCAGGCTAAATCTCGGAACAGGGCGAGTGTGCGCCGCTAGTAACTCACTCCTCTGTGTATTGAGCTTGTATAAATAACTAGGTGACCACTTTTCAAACATTTGTTCGCCATAATCCTTACACTCGAACGTGTAAAGGAATCTTAAAGTCGACGCGTTAATAGTACATCACGTTGTTGACTTATTAAATTTGCGAGAACGGGTTGGTTTTCTCACATTCCAGCGTCCGGGAATGGGCAGACATGGAGTGGCAATTTTTGTGTGTTGGATTTCAAACCATAGTACAGAGATGCAAGTCACTTTGAACATAAAACGGTTCGCCAACGAATCAAAAACCTGCATATAATGTATATAATCCAGTCTTAACCTAACAACACGGGTTTCAATTAGAAATCGAGCCAAGTGCATGTTTTGACCGCACACCGGGGAGGCAGCTGACCTCTGGGCTCGATAAGGCATATCTGGGTCACGTCCGACATAACGGTCAGCCCTCCTGAGGCTAGGCTGCAGGGTAGCAATGTCAATGGACGACGACGTTTCGGTCCGTCCTGGACCATTCTCAAGTCGATTGTGAATGAATCGACTTGAGAATGGTCCAGGACGGACCGAAACGTCGTCGTCCCTTCACCTTCTAGTGTGTGGTCTGGTCAACATACTTTAGCCACGTTATTGTGACTCATCGCCTGCATACAGCCTACGCTAATCTATCCTTCTAAGGTGTATCTTATTGTCTCAATAACCGTATTTGAATAGGCTAACGTAGGGCTGTCAAATGAAGGAATAAGCCCTGTACAAGCTTGCATTGAAAATCTATATTAGTAGAAATTGCCATATAGCTGGAAATATATAATAATTAATTGTATTTATAAAATATACATAAGAATATGTTAGCGGTTCAATTAATAGGTGCATAAATTCATCGTTGAACCAACGCCTCGCTTGGAAATTGTGTTCACTGGTTAATTATGCAGTGCTGCTGAGTCACTGTAACGGTGTTTGCAGTGGCTTGTGCCTTGCGGCCCCACTGTTCCTCCACTGTGTAACCAGACAAGGTGGTCACTGTAGAGATACGCTCAGTACTCGGTACTTGTGGCACGGTATTTTATTGCAAATGTCACAATAACAGATTGATTGATTGATGAAGATTAAGTCACCCAAAAGGTGGTACGGGCATGAATAGCCTTTAAATGGTGGCCCTTTTGAGCCATTGCCAGTATCAATAGATGATACTGCAGATCTGTGGAGGTACGACTGCACCCTACGTGACGGGAGATGTCTCCCGTCTGCACAATAACATAAATGATGTTCCTGATATGTATTAGATACTTAATTGATGATTATGCACGTCTGCTTGTTCTATAGTGCCTGAAGGAATGTTTGGGGGTCCCGGAAGTGATGCGAAACGAGGTTCCTGAAAAAATAGCTGTGATATTCCGAAACAAAACAACGGATAGAAATTGGATGACAATTTAATTTTCAGCCACGATATTGTGATTTATCAGTCTCCGTGGCGCAGTGGTAAAACACGAAGCCCGGCGCTTCGTGAGCGATTTGGCAGTGGTTCGAATCCTAGCCGGGGAGGATTGACTGGGCGCCAATCCTTAACTATGGCCTTTGTTCCGAGTACTGCATTTTGGCTACTAGGTACAACATATATATAAGTATGTATGCGCTATATTAGGCTTGAGAAAGTTTATATTTGGTTTTTGTCTGCATTATTTCGTGCCAAAATTAATAGTACCTAACGTGAACTATATTGGCTGCAGCAATATATTTTTGTGGGCTAGACCCAATAGTTGCTGTAAACTTTATCACTTCTGGATGATGGGTTGAAATATTCTCATAAATTAAATAACAAATAGACTTCGAATATAGTTCACATTGAACTATTATTTTTGTTTTAAATTTTTTCCTAGAGTCAATTGACGCGCAATTTCTCCGGGAACCAGTTCCACGAATGATGAGGTTACTGAAGCAACAAAGCCGGTTGAAACTGAAATAAGTTTATTGATGTAAAATACACACAAAGGGATGAGGCAGCTCAAGCTATTCTCACCCCGTTCAGTACATCGTGTTAATACATACATATACACACATGACAAACAATAAACATATTATCAAACATTCTGAGAGATAAACATCTACATTTCCTACCAAGCCGGTTGGTTAGTATGTTCTTAACCAGCTTATGTTACATATAACCTAATATCGGCTTATAACCTAATCCATTCTGCTTTTAAACTCTGCCAAATAATAGTTCCATTTGGAGTAAATATGTGAGGTGCTGGTGTTAATTGTTTTTATTGGTGGATTTTAATTAATATTTGGGGGAGTCGAGTGGGAGGGAGAGAGCGAGGGAGGTAGGGTGGGATGGAGGGAGGGAGGGAAGAAAGGATTGATGGAGTGAGGGAGGGGGAGGGTAGCTATGCTTATTTCATACATACTCGGTCATTAGGCACGCTTTCATTAGATGCTTGTTCATTATATGCTCAATCATTCGTTGTTGTTCGTTAGACGTTCGTTCATTAGAAGTTTGCTCATTGAATGTGCGTTGTTAAACGTTTGTTTAGTAAATTCTCATTCAGTGACGCTTGTTCAATAGACGTTTATTCATTAGACGCTCGTTCAGTTGACGCTTATCCATTAGAAAAAAATATATATATACGAAAACTCATTATCTTAACCCCCTCCCCCCCCCCCCTGAAGGATTCGAACCCGGACAGCTAGACTTTACATGCCCCCGGCAGTATAGTGCTGGATACTCGGCCAGCGAGTGCTAATGTGTCACTATATCTCCTGCTAACCTTATAATGTCAGCCAGTTACAGAAATTGTTCAATTTCCTTAGCCATGTAGTTACAATTAATCATTGTGCAAAAATTTCAGGTAATTTATCCTAAGTAAAAAAGATTGACATTTCATACAGCGTGAGTTTAGATTTATCTCCAAATGGCTCAGTATTTTTACAATCCTTTTTTTACAATTACGATGATTGAAATTACCTACTTAAAATTATCTGTTAGATTAAGGACCTGCCCGTAACGCTGCGCGTACTAGTGGTTTTACAAGAATGTAAATACTGTACTATCCAATGTATTCTCACAAACCCAATGTACCTTCTTGTATATATATAAATAAATAAATAAATAAATAAATAAATAAATCCAAGATGTAATGCAGTAGTGAGTCCTTGTCTTTTGTTAAAACTACGCATTACTTCATGAAGATCCCGATACAAGCCGAACTGCCAGAGACACTTGTAGCAAAGTCTTATCCGAGCTGTGACAACGTCTGTTTGTAAAAAAACATGAGAGGGTGTAGGACGCCCGCCACGCTAGGCTGCTAGTCATGTATCATTATAAGTATTAAAGTCATTAACCAAGCAATGGCTTTATAGCAACCCTACAACCAAGACTTCCATAACAACACAGAACACCACAGTCTGCTGATGTTACTTGCCCCCCCCCCCCCTATACACATGTTTTACGCGACACATTTCATTATCAAGAACAATGCTTGATTGTAACCATGATATATATGTGCTTCTGCCTACAGTTTACCCCTCACAGTGTTCAAGAGAGAACTGGATAAGCACCTCCAAAGGATACCTGATCAACCAGGCTGTGACTCATACGTCAGGCTGCGAGCAGCCGCGTCCAACAGCCTGGTTGATCAGTCCGGCAACCAGGAGGCCTGGTCGACGACCGGGCCGCGGGGACGCTAAGCCCCGGAAGCACCTCAAGGTAACCTCAAGGTAAGGTAGACTTATTGTCTTGTGTATGACCCTCTGTCCTGCGTGACAGTGAATACCAACTTTATCCTCACTTTAATAAGACAATCGAAATCCTCAGATTAGTCAAAATTTTAATTAATTTTGTCAATAAAGATGTTAATAATAATAAATGCGTTTTCCAGTTTGCACTGTTCTATTTTCTTCAAATTCATCCAACAGTTCTCATCTAATGACACTTTTAATGAACCTATTTGATAACTCAAGATTCCGATCAACACTTTCTTTATTTACTGCAATCTTAGCAAGGGCGTCAACTTGATTATTGCCCTTGCAGGCCAATGTGAGAAGGAATCCACAATATTTTGATGTTTACCCGCTTATTAAGTATGCGTATATATCTGTCTGGATTCAGATACAAGCACATTATTATTTGATTATAAACTAATGCTAGTAGTGAGGAAAGGGATCCAGAAATAATTAAGCTGTCTACTTCAGTGTCAATAATTTTGAGTGCTACCTACTACCAGTTCAACTTACAAGGTGGATGCCCAGTTATTAACTCTTATGTTTTTCAATTGTGCTTCCATCAGGCTGATGAACAATTAAATAAAAAAAAAAAATAGTATGTATCATGTCTTGTCACTAGCATGCTTCTAGAGTACATGTTAGTGCGTGTTAACTACACTGAGTAGTCGTGATTATGAATGTGTCCATTAAAGGACAATGGAGACACGACATTATAATATTGTTGGTGCACAAAACATTTTCGTAATCTAAAATTAAGGACAAGTATTAATAGTGTTCATAAGTGAGATTTTTGTTTAATTGTACATGGCAAAGTAGCAAATTAAATAAATAATGGGCCGAAACTGAAAAAAAAATAATGATAAACGCAGTGAACGCGAGAACAAAACAAATGTAAGCTCCGGACGCAGTTAAAAAATGCTCAATATTCCAGTTTTATTAACATATTTAATGAGACTCAGATTAGTAGTACAGTTTACAACGTGGTACACGGCGTGCCAGCGCCGAGGTGAGGTGGACGGCTACTGAGGTGATGAGACCAAAGCTTTCACAATGGTGGTAAATCTATAAGTCTTCTCCGATCACTGCCGGAAATGGCAGGACGATCTCACGAAGTCTTCATCAGTTGCTGGTCTGAATCAAACCTGAAAGTTCAAAGGTAATAGTTTAATTCCATGTGAGTATTTTTTGTTGATATCAAAGTTCTTAGATTTTGGAATAACCTAACATAAAACCATTACTTTGAACATATATTCTTGCCATAAAAAAAACTGTAGCAGGCCTATTAGCCCATAGGAAGCAGTCCCTATTTATATAATTCCAAATTCGTCCATTTATGTTTAACCTGCACTTTAAACACTTCAGCGATTTGGGCTGGTCCATTATGTTACACAGTGTTTACCAACGTCTTGCCTTAATAATACTATTACATTTATATACACTGTTTTGTGTTATATATTTAACACTTTCTATATTTTGTTATACACTTTCATCCATATATATATTTCACTTGTCACCCCTACTCTTAATCTCTCTTCATCAAGGAGGTTTCTAATTCCTGGGATTAACTTTGTCACTCTTGTTTGTATGTGTTCACCTGAACGTATCTCCATTAGAACTGACACCAAAACTGAACTGCAGTTTATCAACATCTGGAGAGTTATTAAGACAAACAAGTGCATACCGACCAACCAGAATGTATACCTTTGTTTTAACAGTCCAGACCCAAGGTACGTTTCTTCTCGGGGAACGAAGGAAAAATTCACCAGCATAAATATATAAATGAAAATTAAAAAAAAAAAAACTAATAAAAATAGATACACTAATAGAACAAATGGACACAAGCTGACGAGGTTGAGAACTTACGACATTCTCCGTCATAATCAAATTCAAGATCCAGGCGATGGTTCTTGCAGGCTTCGAATCCCAGGGCACAGGCGTTACTGTAAGTCTTCCCGTCCGTGCCACACACAGGTTTGTAGTTAAATGGGCAGGCGTCCCTGCAGTCAGTTACTGAGCCTGGCAAGTGAAGTCGCTTCTAGTACAGTGTCAATGATATGTAATGATCCTACTAGTAGTCGTTGCAGGTTTAAACAAGATATATAATTATTTGTCCGTTTCTGTGAGTCAGTCAGTCTGTCCAAAGTTGGAGGTCATAGGCTTGGTGGTAGCCTCATGGAAATTTACACGGAAATGGACTGAAGTATGGGACGGACAAATCTGGTCGGGGTAGGCCTCAGTTAAATGCATTAAGAAATAGCATAACACCTGACCGCCACCGAGCGATTTTCATGAAGTCTGAAATGAAAGTGGGCAAGTGACCTCTTATAGAGTTTGAAATTACTCCCGTTAACGCACGCAATTTCATTATTTAGTCGTGGCATGTCGATTTATTCGGCTATGTCGTGGTACAGGGGCAAGGTGCGCGGCTGGGAGTATCTTGCTGGTTTGAGTCCAGCGAACATAACATTCGTTGCTCCAATTGATTTTCTCTAGACATAAATTTATAACTGAAAATAGTGCAGTACATACACAAGATAAATAAATAACATGAAAAATTAATGAATACAATTTGACGACTGTGAAAACTCACGACAATGTCCGTCATAAGCGACTGAGAGCTCGAGGTCAGGATCCTTGCATGCAACGCTTTCCAGGTGACAGGCGTTGCTGTAAGTCTTCCCGTCCGTACCACACACCGGGGCGTAGTCAGCTGTACAGATGTCCGAGCATTGACCAATTCCTGGCCCTGGAAAGTGAAGTCTGTTGTATTACAGTGACTTTTGTAGTTGCAGATTTAACAATATTAAATAAAGAGAAAATTACCATTTTGTCCGTTCGCAATTGGCTAGAATTCTGGGGCTACTTAAACCTTCACAAGGTGGTCGTTAGGGGATTATCGTAGGTGATTATGTCAAGGTTGACGTCTATTCCTCTTGATAACCTCAATAAATAACCAGATTACATTCTGTATGTATACAATGGTTTTGCGCTTTCCCCTAAAAATTCCCCTCCCTCCCTCCAAGATTCGACCAAAATATGATGAAATGTTAGTTTGGTATATGAAGGTTATTGAAGATAGTATATAGCCAAGACGGTTACAGTGATAAAGGGAAAGAATGATGAACAAAATTAACAAAGCAGTTCCAAAACCAATATTTATTTGCTAATGTAAACTAGCCCGACAGTACACTAGACGACGCAAAGAATCTCTATAACAAAGAAGCTGCAGGCACATGAGTGCCTGTATTAGTGTAACCACAATCTCCAGATAAACTTACGTTTAGCGGACACTAGAGGGCCACAAGCCACAAGCACCAGCAGGAGGAGGGCGGAGGTGAAGGTCAGGGAACCCATCGTTGTCACAAGTCTTCACAAGGTGGCAGAACACAACCTTGGGAGAGAAAAGTAAGACATTGTGGTCATTGTTGACCCCCGCTGTTGCTGCCACGACCTGAGACCCTTACCCATGTTTGGTGGAGTGTCTACCACAACCACCATTACTGCTACCACGACCCGAGACCCTTACCCATGTTTGGTGGAGTGTCTACCACAACCACCATTACTGCTGTCACATTTATGACTGCAGCTGCTACTGTAATAAGTGGGAAGAAGGCTGTTGTCTTGTTACACTGCTCCAGACCAGTCACTGTTTACCTAAACAACATTATCTATACCGTAGACTAACATTTTAATATACACGGCTGGCAATTGTTAGTTTTATCTTTAATTAATGCTGAACCCAAAATGCCAGTCGGGGCATCCTAGGCTTGAGGACTATCATTTATCAAGGTAGACTTAAAACTTCCACAAATAAGTTCTTGCGTGTAAATGAACAAATCTTCGATTTCTTACCTGTAACTCCTACTGTGGCGGCGGGACTGACTGTGGCTGTGGATCTCGCACCTTTTATACCCGCTCCAGATGCGGGGCTGCCAGACGTTTAAACTAACACTGGCACGATTTTGTACTGGGATTATTAACCTATTAAACACAATAGTTTACTAACCAAACCAGCGAGAATACTTTAGTCCTGAATATTGTCTAGGACTTATGTTAACTCAAATGAACGACCACCTAGATGGGTATACCTCACGGTCTATATACGATACAAGGTGGTCCATAAGGTTACTTTTACCGTAATATTATTTTATTAACCCAATCACATGTTAAATTTAAAATGAACAAAACAATATTAACAATACATGAATTTTTACGTTTTAATTCTAAACTGCAGTTTTATTAATTTTGTTATTTTCTTCATTTGAATGTTTACATATGATTGGGCTAATCAAATAGTATTACTGTAAAGTAACCTCTAGGTGACTCCACTGGTCTCTGGAAAAAAAATTTTCGTAAAAAATATTTAAGTTTGCCTGTAATTTGTTTCATTGTTTTTTCCCATCAGTGTCCTGTAAATGTTACGAATTTTAAGACGTTTAAAAATGTCTTAAAATTCCTTCAGACTTTTGTTATGTAAAGAGTAAGAGAGAGTTTTGACTTATAGAGCAGAATCCGAGAGCTTTTTTTTAAGACAGGGAAGCGGGAGGAATTTTCCTGAAACCGTGTTTGTGTACTCACCTATATGTGTCTACTGGGTCGAGCGTTGGCTCCTAAACCCCGGCTTTACATCACATTAGTAGTTTACTGCATTGTCATAGACCTTTTTACAGGCTTCCTGTCCCCCGGCAAAGGGATTTAGTTACGATTTTTGTGGTAAGTTCTCTTTTAAATGTACAAAAGTTCTTACAAGAATGCAAGAACTACAAGTATTTAAGAACTTACAAGAATATATACTTATATATATATATATATATATATATATATATATATATATATATATATATATATATATATATATATATATATATATATATATATATATATATATATATATATATATATATATATATATATATATATATATATATATATATATATATATATATATATATATATATATATATATATATATATATATATATATATATATATATATATATATATATATATATATATATATATATATATATATATATATATATATATATATATATATATATATGTCGTAACTAGTAGCCAGAACGCACTTCTCAGCCTACTATGCAAGGCCCGATTTGCCTAATAAGCCAAGTTTTCATGAATTAATTGTTTTTCGACTACCTAACCTACCTAACCTAACCTAACCTAACTTTTTCGGCTACCTAACCTAACCTAACCTATAAAGATAGGTTAGGTTAGGTTAGGTAGGGCTGGTTAGGTTCGGTCATATGTCTACGTTAATTTTAACTCCAATAAAAAAAAATTGACCTCATACATAATGAAATGGGTAGCTTTATCATTTCATAAGAAAAAATTAGAGAAAACATATTAATTCAGGAAAACTTGGCTTATTAGACAAATCAGGCCTTGCATAGTAGGCCAAAAAGTGCGTTCTGGCTACTAGGTACGACATATATATATGTACCCCTGTATATATGTGGGTATATATATCCTGTAAAATTTGGGGTGCGTCGGTGCCTTTGTTTTATTCTATTTATGTAGCATAAAAAATACAGGACCCGTGGAGACACATTACATTATAATCCTGTTTGCGTACAAAACATGTTCGTATGTAAAATTATGGACCAAATATTAACTGCGCAGTTAATGGGCCAAGGTATTAACTGCAAAGTCCCGTGGCGCAATGGTAATACACTCGCCCGGCGTTTCGCCAGCGCTTTGGCCTAGGTTCGTATCCAGGCCGGGGAGGATTGACTAGGCGCCACTCTTTAACTGAACGCCTCTGTTCACCCTGCAGTGAATGGGTATGTGATTGTTAAACGTTTTGGCGGGTCGTATTCCAGGGAATATTAAGATTAAGGACCTGCCTGAAACGCTATGCATGCTGGTGCCTTTACAAGATTGTAAGAACTCTTGTATAAAAAAAGTATTCACAAGTAAGACTTTTGTTTATTAATTGTGTAAGTAAATAGGACATGGTAGAAATCAGCAAAATATATTAATATTGGGTCATAACAGAAGAAAAATTAATATTATACTGTAATATAGTGTAAACACATCAAAGTTTTTAAAGTGAGGATTGTTACGAATCCTCCATTAAGATATATTTTGTGTAAACAGTTTATGTAGCAATTTGGCTAGAGAGAGAGAGTGTTTATATAAAAGTTTTGAGAAAAATGTTTGTTTCCTGGAGTCAAGGAGGCCGTAGAGCGCTGATATCACACCGCCCATGAAACTAGTACTGGGAATCAAAGGCTTATTATGGAATACATGAAGATTGTATGTACACCTTTTGTATTGGACAAATTTTCTTTTGTATATGACATTCAAACAGAGTACAGGTAAAAGGGAATATTTAAAGATTAATCAGAAATAATGGACGTTCTGGTATCAAGGGGCGAGTGACCTGGCTGGCTCCATGGACAGTAAAAGAACATGGCGGAGGGCGCTGGAGGCCGTTACCTGAATTAGTGATTTTTTTTTTTTTTTAGATATTTTTTTTTTTGAGATATATACAAGAGTTGTTACATTCTTGTACAGCCACTAGTACGCGTAGCGTTTCGGGCAAGTCCTTAATCCTATGGTCCCTGGAATACGATCCCCTGCCGCGAAGAATCGTTTTTTCATCCAAACAGAACAGAGGCTACAGTTAAGAAATTGCGCCCAGTAAATCCTCTCCGGCCAGGATACGAACCCATGACATAGCGCTCGCGGAACGCCAGGCGAGTGTCTTACCACTACACCACGGAGACTGCTCTATTTTGAGGGTTACACTCTGCCAGATGTCCAGATAAGCCACAATTTTGTATTTATTTAAGTTGCTGGAGACTCTTAAGAGTAGTTTGAGAAACTGCGGAGTAGGGATACATAAGAGTCTAGGGTTTCTAGTATATTCGTGTGTCGTAAATATTATTGCATGTGTGGGTACTTCTTCAACATACAATTATCAGACTAAAGTATTTAGGTTTGAGGTATTGTTTATGCTCTTTGTGAATGGTAATATAAATTGGTGATTGATTATTATTATTATTATATATATGTTAAGGTACATGAAGAATAGGGGAAGTTTTCTCATGAATAATATTCCCTGTTATATATATTGCTATTTAGAAATATATATTTTATTAGACACTCGACCTAGATGTTGTTATGCTCATGTGGGGATTTCCCCTGTGCTTTACCATCAAAGCTAATAACCATCATACATCCCTTGACAAGCTAGTGAAGTAAGTGTTAACTAAGCATATGATCGGAGTACTAGGATAGGGGCGCTGCTCAACACATGACTGGATATTAAAGGTCAGGCCGAGACAGTAAAAACACCAACACACAAAAGGCATAGTTAGGACAGTTAAACATGCTCAGTATTCCAGTTTTATTAACATACTTAATGAGAATCAAAATAGTAGTACAGTTTACAAAGTGGTACACAGAATGGAGTTACTGGCGTTGCACAGCGTGCCGGCGTCGAGGTGAGGTGGACGGCTACTGAGGTGTTGTGGCCAAAGTTGACCAGACCACACACTAAAAGGTGAAGGGACGACGACATTTCGGTCCGTCCTGGACCATTCTCAAGTCGATTGTGAGACCATACTCAATCGACTTGAGAATGGTCCAGGACGGACCGAAACGTCGTCGTCCCTTCACCTTCTAGTGTGTGTGGTCTGGTCAACATACTTAAGCCACGTTATTGTGACTCATCGCCTGCTTGTGGCCAAAGCTTTCACAGTGGTGGTAAATCTGTAAGTCTTCTCCGATCACTGCCGGAAATGGCAGGACGATCTCTGGAAGTCTTCTCCAGCTGCTGGCCTGAATCTAACCTGAAAGTTAGAAGGCAATAGTTTAAGTCCATGTGCATATTTTTGTTACTTTGTTATCTTAGATTTTTGAATAGCCTAACATGAGACTATATAAACATATATTCTTGCCATAAAGAAAACTTTAGAACACCTATTAGCCCATACGATGCAGTCCCTCTTTATATCCTTCCAAACTCTTTCGTGTATGTCTAATTTGCACTTGAAACAATCCATCGATTTAGGCTGGTCCATTATGTTACCCAAACTAGTATATACTAACGTCTTGCCTTAATAATACCATTAAATTTATATATACTTTTTGTATATCCTCTTTTTTATACACGTCCACCTATTTACATATTTTAATGTAAATTTTATTATTTTTAAGATAAAAATACAATAAGATACATGTTACATAGATAAGATAATAAGATACATCCTACTCTGTCAATGTAGTGAAGCTTTCTTAATCTCCATTCATAAGGATTAACTTTGTAATCCTTGTCTGTACGCATTCCAGTGAACTTGTCTCCACTAATACTGAGACCAAAACTGAGCTGCACAGTCTATTCCGGCCCCAACATTGTCGAGATAAAGCTGAAGAACAATATCTACCGTCTTTGATACCTGATCAACCAGGCTGTGACTCATACGTCTATCTGCGATCCAACAGCCTGGTTGACCAGTTCAGCAATAAGGTGGCCTGGTCGGGGACCGGGCCGCGGGGACGTTGAGCCCCGAAATCATCGCAAGGTATGTGACCAAGCAGCAAGTGTACTTTAGTCTTGAACATAGTCCAGGACTAATGTAAACTCTTTGTTTGTGTACACTAATCTCCTATCGCCTTTATTCCAAGCATTTTCCCAACATTTTTTTGAGCCTTAGATCCCTACTATTCTTGACACAGATCTTTTCTGTATTTATATTTCGCAAACTGAACAATGTTCAGCTGATACCGGTAATTTCTGTGTCTAAAATATTTTTGGAACCTTTAGAGCAACACAAATATGTCGCTAAATATTCAAGGTGTTTAACCAGAGAGAGTTGCGTCCGGTATAATCACTTTACCTTAAGTACAGGCTGGGACAGTTACTCCTTGGTAAAGGTATTTTTCTCAAAGGATTAAGATAATTAAGAAGGTAGTGCGTGTCTCCGGGGAATGAAGACAACACAATTATAAATAAAAAATAATTTCACTCAGAAAAAAACACACCAATAGAAAATATGGACTCAAGGTGACGAAGTTTAGAACTTACGACATTCTCCATCGTAATCAACTTTGATATTGAGCTCAGGGAAATTGCAGGCTTCGATCCCCAGGGCACAGGCGTTAGGGTAAGTCGTCCCGTCTGTGCCACACACAGGGTCGTAGTTAAGTATGCAGACATCCGAGCATTGATTTGCTGGGCCTGAAAAATGAAGTCACTTGTAGCACAGAGACAATGATGTGCGATGATCCTACTAGCAGTCGTTTGCAGGTTCAACAAGATGTTATATACAGAATATATAATATATATATGCGGGAAAACCATAGATAAATGGGAAAGGTGAATGTTGAGCGTTTCGGCTGGTCAGCGCCTTTCTCAGCAACAGACTGGCTAAGGGGCAGCAGAGGGAGGCTGGAGGCCAACGTCTGGGACCTGACCACCCATCCCCAGGGAGAGATGTAGCCAGCAACCAGGGATAGTTGGCAGAGGTGGGTAGAGATAGCCTAAGCTACACACTAGAAAGTGAAGAGACGACTACGTTTCATATATTTGAAATAACAAATATTTCAGCCACGTTATTGTGACTCCTCGTCTGCAGCCTAAGCTACTCTATCTCGCGTGTAGTGTAGATGGTTACAGTGATGAAGGGCGTGTGTAGTGTAGATGTTACAGTGGTGAAGGCCATGTGTAGTGTAGATGCGGCCTCCGTCACCCGAGTAACGCCGGGTATCCCTCCCCCTCTAGTATAAAATATTTATGCTTGTAATAAATATTACATTGTTATATAAGCATAATTCCCGAAATAATTAAAAACAATGAATTTAAGTGCACAAATAAATCCAGATTATCGTGATGTATTAATTATAAAATCAGCTGGAACCATTTGGGGGGAAAGGATTCGAACCCGCACAAGCTGTGTATACTCACAAGCACACGCCTTGGTGGTCTTATTAAGACGTGTGCTTGGGAGTACCTACTGTGCACGTTCGAATCCTTCTCATGTCACCTACTGATTTTCTCAGTTATAAAGTAGTTTTATCCAGGACGATTGAGCAGAGTATAATACACTGAGTTCATCACACAAAACAAATGATACCATAAAACAGGTTAATACTTATATGATATGGTTGTGATAAAGCCTAATTTTATCTACAGAAATACAATTTGCTGCTTAATATTATATAATAAAGACTAACATAATAAATTAACACTATCACTAGTATATAACAATCCTAAAAAACAGCTTAGAATGAGATTGATAAACACAATTAACAAACAAACTGTTCCAGAACCAATATTCTTCTTCTAAATTTAAACTAACATGACACGCAGTACGCTAGACGACGCAAACAAACTGTGTAACAAAGAAGCTGCAGGTATATTAAGCGTTAGAATGAACAAACCACAAACTCCAGATAAACTTACGTTTAGCGGACACTAGAGGGCCACAAGCCACCAGCAGCAGCAGCAGGAGGGCGGAGGTGAAGGTCAGGGAACCCATCGTTGTCACAAGTCTTCACAAGGTGGCAGAACACAACCTTGGGAGAGAAAAGTAAGACATTGTGGTCATTGTTGACCCCCGCTGTTGCTGCCACGACCTGAGGCCCTTACCCATGTTTGGTGGAGTGTCTACCACAACCACCATTACTGCTACCACGACCTGAGACTCTTACCCATGTTTGGTGGAGTGTCTACCACAACCACCATTACTGCTACCACGACCTGAGACCCTTAGTGGCATGTTTGGTAGTGTCTACCTCAACTACCATTACTGCTACCACGACCTGAGACCCTTACCCATGTCTGGTGGAGTGTCTACCACAACCACCATTACTGCAGCCACGACCTGAGACTCTTAGAGACATGTATTCTTAGGTACCATCACTTCTGCTGCCACCACAACCATCATCACTAATACTGCCATCACCACTACTCCGGACCAGTTACTGTGTATATAGCTGGACACATTATTATCTATAATGAGAACCAAGATTAAAATCGGGGTCTGGTGTTTGTTAATTTTATCGTTAGTTAATGTTTAAACGTAAATGCAAGTAGGGGGCATGAAAGGCTTGAAGACTCCATCATTATCAAAGTAGATTCTAAATGTCCACAAACTAAACTTCTTACCTGTAACTCCTACTGTGGCGGCGGGACTGACAGTGTGGCTGTGGCTCTCACGCCTTTTATACCCTCCCCAGATGCGGGGCTGCCAGACGTTCAAACTAACACTTATAGGATTTTGTACTGGAATTAAGAACTATTAACCACACTGGTTTATTGACCAATCAGCAATACTATATATGAACATTGTCTAGGACTAAAGTAAACTCTTTAAGTGTATATGCATCTAGAAGACATGCTGTACCATCATCAGATTTCAGAACTTCCTTAAAATTCATTCAATGTTTTGTTACATAAGGATTACATGGGGGAGTTTTTTACTCTTAAAAGCAGCTTCTGAAACTTTTCCTAGAGTGAGAGAAGCGAGAGAAAGTCCTCCAGAAGCCGGCCCCTGTAGCGAGGCGCTTGTGTATTATCCTAAATGTGTGTTTCTACGGGATCGAACGTCAGCTCTTGATCCCCGCCTTACGACTCACTAGTGGTTTACTTTATTTCCAAAAGCCTAACTATACAGGCTTTCTGTCCCCGCCAAAATTGGGAATTATTTACGAGTTTTTTGGGGAAATTTTGTGTTATCTTTGTTATTCATCTGTGTTTCTTTGTTTCAGTCTGTGTCTCTTGTTTCAGTCTGTGTCTCTTGTTTCAGTCTGTGTCTCTTGTTTCAGTCTGTGTCTCTTGTTTCAGTCTGTGTCTCTTGTTTCAGTCTGTGTCTCTTGTTTCAGTCTGTGTCTCTTGTTTCAGTCTGTGTCTCATGTTTCAGTCTGTGTCTCTTGTTTCAGTCTGTGTCTCTTGTTTCAGTCTGTGTCTCTTGTTTCAGTCTGTGTCTCATGTTTCAGTCTGTGTCTCTTGTTTCAGTCTGTGTCTCTTGTTTCAGTCTGTGTCTCTTGTTTCAGTCTGTGACTCTTGTTTCAGTCTGTGTTTCTTGTTTCAGTCTGTGTCTCTTGTTTCAGTCTGTGTCTCTTGTTTCAGTCTGTGTCTCTTGTTTCAGTCTGTGTCTCATGTTTCAGTCTGTGTCTCTTGTTTCAGTCTGTGTCTCTTGTTTCTGTCTGTGTCTCATGTTTCAGTCTGTGTCTCTTGTTTCAGTCTGTGTCTCTTGTTTCTGTCTGTGTCTCTCTTGTCTTCGTCTGTGTCTCGGTCCCCCTTGTTATCAGAGAATAAGTCACCATGACGGAACTGAAACCTATAACCCAATCCTAACATATGACGTGATATAAAAGCGATATTTCGGCCCGTCGTGGACCCTAATATGACGAAGTTTCGGTCCGTCGTGGACCCTTATATGACGACGTTTCAGTCCGTCGTTGATACCTTATGTGATGACGTTTCAGTCCGTTCTGAACACTCATGTGACGACATTTTGGCTCGTTGTGGACCCTTATGTGACTATATTTCGGTCCATCGTAGACCCTTATGTGACGACATTTCGGACCGTCGTGGACCCTTATGTGACTACATTTCGGCCCGTTGTGGACCCTTATGTGACGACGTTTCGGTCCGTCGTGAACCTTTATGTGACGACGTTTCGGTCCGTCGTGGACCCTTATGTGACGACGTTTCGGTCCGTCGTGGACCCTTATCAAATCGTCACGTGGCGATCATTTAGTATATTACGTGAGGGTTGGATTATTATAATGCTAGCATGTCTCTCACGCTCATTCTTTCATTAAATGTTATGAGACCCGGATCCTTCAGTCTTTCCATTAACTTAATCCCTTCGGCTCAGGAACTGGTATTGTTGCATGTTGAGTTTCTCCAAGTTGGGGTTCCATGCCGGGAATAATTACTCAAGACTGAATCTCACATCATGGATGCTGGGTGTGGAAAAACTGATAGAGTGAGAGAGATGAAGCGGAAAGAGTTAAGTACAGGTTGACTGCATAATCCTTGGCAATCCTAAGGCCTTCCATACAGTGCTTGACTGAGGGCTCAGGGGCGTGTTAGGGGCGGTACTCACTGGCTGAAGTGATCTTCCTGTAGAAGAAGTTAACACTGAGAGCGGATATATCAGATGGGAGTAGTGAAACAGCCAATGATAAACATACATATTTTTTCATTAAATATTATTATTATTATTATTATTATTATTATTATTATAATAAGTGAGTTTCTCAATAGAAAATCCTTGGGCCCATCCTGTTTGTGCTGTAAGATAATATAATCAGTACAACAACACACATGACAGTTCTGTTCTCTGTTTCTTGATGCTTCCAAGACATGTGACAAAAGATGAATAAAATTAGCTTTATAATAAATCTGTTGATCCGTAACGGTTAACCTGCAATTGCTAGATACCTTTACGTATATCATCAGGTCTACGAAGAAGAAGCTGTTAAATGTTACAGTGTTCACTCTTAAACACTTATCACGAAGAAATGTGGTGAAACAAACAGCTGAGCTTGATGCATATGACGTGATGGCTTAAGATGTGCAGTGTTTCTAGAGGAGAGACATTGTACATCTATATATGTGGGTCCTTCTTATATACAGCACATAGATAACAGTTGATACTTAAAGAAGTGGAGATTCCCAAGGATATAAATACGACATACAAAACACTTAGACATTGACAAAGTCAACAAATAATAGTGACAAGAAGAGAGTCACACGTGAGAGTCACACACATATCAACATCAGCTACATACATATACATATATCTATATCAAAATAAACATCTTGAGTATGGGTGGAGCGAGAAAGTGGACTGAACTGATATAAGGGGAACCTGATAAAGTAGATAAAGAAACGTTATTTAAAGCTGGGAACTGCATAAGCTATGTACCTGATCATAGGTGCAAACTAGAGATACAGATGACAGAAGGACTCTTTTACAGTATTAAGAGACGTCAATCAGAAGATTAGGTAAAATGAAGAAGTCACTGTAGCTAACTTAATTAATACACAATTTGATATAAGAGTGTACAGAAGGCAGACCTAGGAGCCCAGCTTGTCTCTGTCAGCACATTCGGGTTGTTGTTGTTTTAGATTCAGGTACTGGGAACAAAACGTTCCAAGTAGCACAGGGTATGGTGAGCCCGTAGTGAACTTACCTGGCACAGGAGCGGGGCTGTAGCTGACGTCACATTCAGGTGAGCACACACACATGCGCGCTAGTTCTCTCTGAACTGCGGGGGAAAATATCATGTAAACCTGTTATTCTAGGAAAGTTTTCAGAGGCGGTTCAACCCAGCATCAGAAGTGGGTATAAAAGGCGGGCAATCAGCTACCCAGCGTCAGTCCTGCCACAACTGGATGAGAAAAAAAGGTGAGAACTTAATTTTGTGATAATGCTGTAGTCCTCAAGCCTAGGAGGCCCCAACTTGCCTTTGGGTTTAAACATTAAGGGTCTCGCAGTACAGTTGGCTTCGTTCTCGACTCACAATGGGGAATCCGGGATTCGATTTTAGGACACGATGAAAATGGTTGGGCACGTTTATTATCACCTAACGCGTTTGTTCACCTCGATATAAACAGCTACCCGACAGTTAGTCAACTGTCGCGGGTTTGTATCGCGGAGAGGGTCAGCAATTTGACCTTGGGCGGTGGACCTCGATACAAGCCCAAAGTAAATATGTTTATATTATTACTAGCAGTACCCGGCTACAGCAACCTTCCCTGTCCCCCAGTCCTCACCCGTCTCCTCGGCTTCCCAACCATTCCCCACTCCACCGTCCCCTCGTCCTTTCCACTCCACCATCTTCTCTTCCTTCCCACCATGCCCCACTCCCCTGTCCCTTTGTCCTCCCCACCATTCTCCATTCCCCTCCATCCCCTCGTCCCCACCATCCCAAACTCCCCCGTCCCCTCGTCCTTCCCCAACATTACCCCCACCCTTGTCCCCTCGTTCTCCCCCATCATCTCTCACTTCCGTCCCCTCTTCCTGATGTTCCCATCAGAAAATTGGGAACATCAAGTGATCTGATGTTCCCATCACTGAAATATAAGAAAAACTGTTAAAAAATTAAATGAAAATATGAAAAAATAAAAAAATAAACTATACTCACGAAATGAACGGTATGGTAAACAACACAGCTCAATTCCAACACAATTCACACAAAATAATTAAATCAAAATGAAAATAAATCAAAATCTATGAAAATTCAATTTATCAGTGCAATCAGAAACATTGAACTGGAATTGTAACATATTTAGTATAGCATGTGCGTTGCTCTTACATGCAACAGATGGCGCTGTTTATCAAGAAAAAGCATAGTTTTACCTGTCACAGGTGTGGCATCTATACTTATACTTACGAAATGAACGGTATGGTAAACAACACAGCTCAATTCCAGCACAATGTCACACAAAATAATTCAATAAAAAATAAACTAAAATTAAATCTATGAAATTCAAATTTATCAATGCAATCGGAAACATTGAAATGGAATTCTTGACATATTTAGTAAAGCGTGAATGTTACTATTATGTGCAACAGATGGCGCTGTTTTTAAAAAACGCATGTTTTTACCTGTCACAGGGGTGGCATCTATATAGTAACATCTATATAGTATAGCGGGGGTCAACAATGACCACAATGTCTTACTTTTCTCTCCCAAGGTTGTGTTCTGCCACCTTGTGAAGACTTGTGACAACGATGCGTTCCCTGGCCTTCACCTCCGCCCTCCTGCTGCTGCTGCTGGTGCTTGTGGCTTGTAAGTTATTGTGGCTTGCTCTGTCACGTTAGTTATGCGCGTATGCTAACCTAGTTTTACTTGCTTATTTGTACTTGCGGGTAAATGAGTTCCTGACTCTAAACTCTGTAATCTACTGATATATAGGTACTGGAGCATAGTGAGCTGTCATATCTACTTCTTAAATCACTTTATATGTGCTCACGTAGTTATATACTCACTATATGTGTGTTTGTATGTGTGTGTGTGTGTGTGTTCACCAGTTTGTACCTGGAAGGTTGAGCATCGGCTCATAATTATGCTCCGCCTGTAGACTACCGGTAGTACAAATCGGTAACTTTTTACTCACCCAAGATGTCTCATGGATATATATAAAAAAATGGAGCAATCAAGACAGACACACCCAAGAGCGCAAAAGTTACCGATTTGTACTGTCGGTAGTACTCTCTCTCGTGTTCATCATAGGACGTGATAATATTCTTCAGCGCACGAGAAGTTCACTGTTAGCTTTTCTTAAATGAGTTTTGATGAAAAGTAAAGTTATTTTCCATTGTTAGGAATTTTATTTGTGGATGATCTTTTGTTTTTCGATGCCCACATGTACACTGTTCCCCCCCCCTTCCCCCCCACAGCAGCGGCGGGCACGTCCAAATGCAACGAAGCATGCACGAAAATTTTCGAACCGGTCTGCGGCACTGACGGAGTGACGTACGACAACGACTGCTTTTTGGATATGGCTTCTTGCAACAACAACTGGCACATCAGGAAGCTTCACGACGGCCCCTGTGGTGAGTATTTCAATGTGATCTGTTTCAATTTGTTATCAGTAAATGACTTTGGCGGAAAGTTTTCCAAAGACTTAATAAAGAATTTAGACGAAATTGGAGTAATAAGTATCACTAATGAACGTTTTTCTTCGCTATTAGTAAGATCGTCCCCCATTCATATATTAGAACCCGAAAGTTAATACATAATTACAAACATAATACAACCGTAAGGATATAATCAATGTAATTAATGTTTATAATAAATACTAATGATAATACTAATCAACTTTTTAACTATAGTAATACTTTCTTATAAATGAATATACATAAGAACCGTTAGTCAGGGAACTTAGGTTCATCATCAAGTAATTGTCTTAAAGACTGACGTCTTAACAAGTGAGCAAATCCACAAAGGGCGTGATGAGGGTTCGAACCTACGCATGGGATGTTCCCAGATGCGACTTAGTCAACTGTACCACGACATGGTACAAGTTGACAAGTGAGCTGTTCTGTCTTAAGTGTTGGTGCCACAGTCTTAAGCCCTCGACAACTCCGGAAAATTTGGTTCGTGCCGAATTCGTCTTGTTGAGCAGCGAAGAAGGCTTTCACTTTATGACATATTTCCAATTAATTTTCTTTCTTACAAACTTCATTTGTGTTATTATGTTGTCGGGTCAATAGTTTACTAGTTTCTCATTTTTATCCTTTGCGAAACTCTTAAATGCCTGCTCATATTAATTCCAATTCTGTCTTTAAGTTAAGACAGTTTGATAAGATCGACCAAGTGAGACATGATCTCAATGAAGGTAACGACCAGTAAGCCAAACAGCTCTCGCTAGACGTTACTGTACGTGACGACTACTGAACCCACTGTCACCAGAGTTACGTCATCACTACGTTGGTTCAAGGGTTCAACAACATGATAATTAGGTTACACCGGAGCAGGTCTGGTGCCTCATGTTTGGCGGGGCCCACATATATACTTTCTCTCTCTCGCTCTCTCTCTCTCTCTATCTCATCTTCCTGTCCAATCTATTCTTGAAACCAGTCAACAATCCATGATTGTTTGCCTTCAGGACGTCTCTGCCTCTACTACAACCCCGGTAATATAATTTTATATATAATCGGTATTCTCTTAAAATTAAGATATTGTTCTCTATTACTTCAGGTTAGATGCCAGCCAAGGACTCCGACTTACTCCAGACGAATGAAGAACACTTTTGGAGTGTTGTGGCTCCAGGTCCAGGTCGCCCCCACCAGCTCGCACGTCCTGATGGACGCTCTCTCTACCACGCACTTTACTAATAATAACTTAGTGGTTCCTCACTTACATTTGTCAATAAAGTAGGTATAGATATATTAGTTTTTTGTTAATGCCCACTTTTAAGAAATAGTTCTCTCTATTTTTTGCACACGCGAGAGGGGCCTCGTGGCTGAATGGACAGCGCTCTGGGGTCTTAGTCCTAAGGGTCCGGCTTCCATCCCCGGCAGAGGTAGAAACAAATGGGCAGAATTTCTTTCAGCCTGGCGCCCCTATTCACCTAGCAGTAAATAGATACCTGGGAGTTAGACAGCTACCAAGGGCTGCTTCCTGGGGATATGTGTGTTAGAAATATATGTAGTAGACATATCCATTACCACAATAAGCCACACCCACCCTGAAAGCACCTGCACAGTTATCTAGATATTTGTAATTGTGAATTCCTTTACTTACGCTGAATGTCCGCGTATCACAGTTCGGTTCTACTCTCGAGGAGCTATAGTAACCTGTTATTAATTAACGGTAGCGTAGTGGTCTACACAGTTGGCTCACAACTGAATGGTCATTACGGTTCCCGGGCGAGATGATGCCTCTGTTCACCCAGGACCACGACAAACCAAACAGGCTTCCTGTCCCCCGACAACAGGAAATCATTAGTCGTAACTTCCAGTGTTCCCTCGAGCGCTAATGTGTAAGAATCTAAAACTAGGAAAATAAATCAGACATCACATAAACTCTCACGACATTATTAAATCTGATTGTGAAAAGCGTCAGTAAGTCGAGATGATCTGATACCGATCAAATTATTCGTAAATTTATTCATAATTCGATTCAAGGATGTTTATAGTTAGAACCTTCTGTAACAAGCTGTACTGTATTCCTTCAGCTGTATCTTGGCCTTGTCTGGAGCCACTTGGTTTATGCTGTAAAGATTTGAGTGCAGTGTAAACTCCTGTACCATATACACGGCAAAGTTACTTCTGTGAATTATGAACTCTGTGAAGATAAATTAACATAATTTACATTTTACAGACAGTCTAGAGTAAGGGAGATGTGACTGAGGTGTAGGGGGAGGGAGGGAGGGGGTATAACTGACGTGTAGACTAAGGGGTAGAAATGTCTTGGGTGTAGAGTGAGGGGGGGGGGGGGAAGGCCATGACTTGATTATATTTGACTTTTGGAGTCCTAAGGTGATGAGACTACACACTGCTGAAGTGCCACTTTCCACCGTTTATACCATACAATTTTTATATGCCATGGTTACACCAGGCTACTTAAGAAACGCCGAAGACTTCTCAGTCCATCCTAGACCATCCTAGTCGTGTGTGATAATAACTTTAGGTTCTGCTGGCGATTATTTGTATTCAATCCGTCCTCGACTCAAGTCCATTACATTCAGCGGTCAACCCCACAGACGCATTCATATATTTTAACATGCTGTTCATTGAAAACGGGAATTTTCTCAAGTATAAATTAATATTATAATGTATTAGCATATTGTGTATAAATAGGCATAGGTTAGGTTAGGTTAGGTGTTTAGGTTCTGCTGGCGATTATTTGTATTTGTAGTACGTGGGTGAAGCATTTACAGCGTTGTGATTCGAACAAAATTCGTCAGTGAAGCACTTGTTCCGAATATGTTCGAACGCAGCAGTTGTGAGTCATGTGTAAACCGCTTTTCATTCATAAACAGGGGGTTTGGCGGGTGGATGGAATCACTTTTGGATCTTTGTTTGGAGGACGGGCTGCCTGCAGGTAGCGTGAAGAGTCACCCATCATAACGATCCACAAAGCCCTGGTAGACAGTCATGGAACCGAACTTCACCACCGCCCGGTGACTTGCAACAATCTGTACACTACACACCACCGACACATCCAATCGCAAAAGGTCCAACAGCACTACTTTATCTGCTGGGTAAGACGTATGTCCGGTGAATTCCAGGCCAATTGTATCCTTCCGCTTTACAGGGACAAAGGCACCCCCATACCACTGGCCAGCACGGCCCCCAACAGCGCCCACCAACAAACACTCTCAGTGTTTGGTGGAGTGTTTTGGTTACACTCTTCGAGGCGGGACCAAAGAGCCAAAGCTCAACCCCCGCAAGCACAATTAGGTGAGTACGAACCATCGAACACTGGAGCACACAGCGACACAATTGTCCCCACGGACAGCCAGACAAGGAGTTAAGGATAGTGGTGGTAACAGGTGGCTAGGAATCACCAGAACGCCAGTTAAAGTCACTATTACCTCAAAATTATTTTTACAATATTTATTATTCTCTGTTTCTACAATGAGACTTGCATATTTATAAGCAATACGAAGTCTTGGATCTCAATAGGCAAAGTTATAAATTATGGCACAATCTCCCTCACGCACCTCTTCTCTCTACAGTATACAGTTTGTCAAGGTTTGTCACAGCTCTAGAGAAGGAGTCGGCAGCGTTAAAGTAACCTTCAAGACATCTTCCCTAAGCTGGCTTAAGACAAGGGTCAGAGCAGTGTTAGAGGGGGAATAATAACCATTTTCTGTACTATAGCCCTAAGTAATAAGCAAATAGCACTTACTTCCTAAGGACAAAACAAAATGTCTTACACAGAGTAAGGAATCCTCTCATTGTCCTGGTTTCCGTTATGTAGTTCCCGAGACCTTTACAGCCTAGGACCATCATAGTCTAGGACTTTCACAGCCTTGAACCTGCATCTCCTAAAAACGTTAACTGACGATCGTGAATTTTAAGGGTTACACTGCCAGATGTCCAGATAAACCACAATTTCGTATTTATTCAAGTTGGTGGGGACCCTAGAGTAGGTTGAGAAGCTGCGGAGAAAAGTAGGGATACATAAAGAGTCCAGGCTTCCTAGTATATCCATGTGTGTCTGGTAAATATTATTGCATGTGTGGGTTTTCCTTCAACATACAATTATCATATTAAAGTATTTAGGTTTGAAATATTGCTTATGCTATCAGTGAATGGTAAAACATATTGGTGATTATTATTATATAGATGTTAAGGTACATGAAGAGTAGGGGAAGTTTTATCCTAAATAATATTCCCTGTTACGTTATTTATTTGTAAATATATGTTTTATTTATGTCACTCGACCTAGATGTTTCTACCCTTCTGTGTGGATTTCCCTGGGCTTTACCAGCAAAGCTAATATCCATCATACATCCCTAGACAAGCTAGTGAATAGTTAACTAACCATATGATCAGAGTACTAGCCGAGGAGCGCGGTCAAACACATGACTAGATATTAAAGCAAAACCGAGATAGAGTAAAAACACCAACAACGCAAAAGACATGGTTAGGACACAGTTAAATAATGCTCAGTATTCCAGTTTTATTAACATAATTAATGAGAATCAAAATAGTGGTACAGATGACAAAGTGGTACACAGAGCGGTGCTACTGGCGTTGCAGAGAGTGCCGGTGCCTAGATGAGGTGGTGGACGGCTACTGAGGCGTTGTGGCCAAAGCTTTCACAATGGTGGTAAATCTGTAAGTCTTCTCCGATCACTGCCGGAAATGGCAGGACGATCTCTGGAAGTCTTCTCCAGTTGCTGGCCTGAATCTAACCTGAAAGTTCGAAGACAATAGTTTAAATCCATGTGAATATTTTTATTTTGTTATCTTAGATTTTGGAATAGCCTAACATTAGACTGTAAACATATTTTTGCCATAAAGAAAACTGTAGAACACCTATTAGCCCATACGAAGTTGTCCCTCTTGATATCCTTCCAAATTCTTTCATGTATGTCTAACCTTGAAACAATCCAGCGATTTGGGATGGTTCATTATATTACGCAAACTAGTATTTACCAACGTCTTGCCTCAACAATACCATTATATTTATATAAACTTTTTCTATATCCTCTTTGTCATTCACTTCCACCTATTTACATCTTATAATCTTGTCACCCCTAGTCTTTGTTTCTCTTTGGGAATGTAGTGAAGCTTTCTTAATCTCCTTTCATAAGGATTAACTTTGTAACCCTTGTCTGTACGCATTCTCTATTTTTGAGAATTTTGAGAATTTTTCTCCATTCTTCATTTTTGAACTTGTCTCCACTAGTACTGACACGAAAACTGAGCTGCACTAAAATATTTTTGGAACCTTTAGAGCAACACAAATATGTCGCTAAATATTCAAGGTGATTAACCAGAGAGAGTTGCGTCCGGTATAATCACTTTCCCTTAAGTACAGGCTGGGACAGTTACTCCTTGGTAAAGGTATTTTTCTCAAAAGATAGATAATTAAGAAGATAGTGCGTGTCTCCGGGGAGTGAAGACAACAAAATTATAACTGAAAAATAATTTCACTCAGAAAATAGATACACCAATAGAAAATATGGACTCAAGGTGACGAGGTTTAGAACTTACGACATTCTCCATCGTAATCAACTTTGAGATTGAGGTGAGGGAACTTGCAGGCTTCGATCCCCAGGATACAGGCGTTACTGTAAGTCTTCCCGTCTGTGCCACACACAGGGTCGTAGTTAAATGGGCAGGCATCCAAACATTGTTTTGCTGGACCTGAAAAACGAAGTCACTTGTAGCACAGAGACAATGATGTGCGATAATCCTACTAGCAGTCGTTGCAGGTTCAACAAGATGTTATATACAGAATATATAATATATATGCGGGAAAACCATAGATAAATGGGAAAGGTGAATGTTGAGCGTTTCGGCTGGTCAGAGCCTTTCTCAGCAACAGACTGGCTAAGGGGCAGCAGAGGGAGGCTGTTCGCCAACTTTTGGGACCTGACCACCAATCCCCAGGGAGAGACGTAGCCAGAAACAAAGGATTGTTGGAGGGGGGGGGGGAATCTCAATAAACATATTTGTCTCAATAAACATATGTTGACCAATCCACACACTAGAAAATGAAGGGACGACGACGTTTCGGTCCGTCCTATCCACGGACCACAATCGACCACAAGTCCACAATCGACTTGAGAATGGTCGAGGACGGACCGAAACGTCGTCGTCCCTTCATTTTCTAGTGTGTGAATTGGTCAACATATCTCAGCCACGTTATTGTGACTCAACGCCTCAATAAACTTGAAATAATAATAAACATACTTGAAATTGAAAAAGGGATAGAGTAGTCTAGAACAAACAAGAAAAAACAAAAGAGGTCAGAGCATAAGTATGAAAGACCGTAAGTATGAAAGGACAACATGTTAGACTGTACAAGAATGTAACAACTTTTATGTAACAAAAAGAAGCCTCCTGGAAACAAATACTCAATACTTGTATTATAATAATAAATAAATTAATATACTATAATTAATAAATCGTGAAGAGCAGACAAAATTTTTAATTTATCAGAGACGAGCACCAACATTTAGGTCTGCAAATGGCATAATAACCGATATACCTAAATACTTATAACTAGAGGGAAAGAGAGAAAGGAATTATTTAGGATGCGAACTATTAAAAGAAAATGGGAAATAAAATGGTAAAATTTATCCAAAGAAAACGGGATATATATATTTATGGTAAACTTTACAGAAATTACAAGACTAACCAAGGGGTCGATTTGTACGATTTGTGTGTTAATTTGCAGTCTCAGGGTAGACTAGATTATTTTAGATCTACTAGGTCTTAAAATGTTATATAATTGGTCAGTGAACCAGTTATATAACAATGATTATTAGTGTTTTGGTGACCTATAATTTTCATGTGTTATTGTACATTCTCTTTCAATGATTTCTGATATATTGTTGTGTATTTTTAATATTTTACAGTTCGGTGATAAGATGCTACTGTGTTTCGTTCGCGTTTCGCCTGACGTGTGTTGTAAGTATACCGCTATATACCAGTTTATTACGGAAGATAAGTCACAATAACGTAGCTGAAGATATAACCAAACCACACATCAGAAGATGAAGAAACGACGACGTTTCGGTCCGTCCTGAACACACACGACTTTATAATGATCCAGGACGGACCGAAACGTCGTCGTCTCTTCATCTTCTAGTGTGTGATTCGGTCATCAGTCAATTTCCCTTGTGTCTGCCAGTGGCAAAGAGTTATGGCGAGTGTATTCAGTTAGAATCATTTTGGTACGCTATACACCGTAGCCCCGTGGAACCGCGTCCTGCTGGGTGTGCCTCTTTACTTTTTTAGCTGTGATTCTCTCTCTTAACGTGAAGGAACCGTGTGTTATAGCGATAAGGTTCTGTAATAAACTAGTGTTCTGTTACATACGCACGATTACGAGAGCATATTGGAAGAGATCATTACTTTGTGTTATTGCCCCTTTATATTTGTGTTTTCTCTTTGGGTAACTCAACCTGGGCTCTTATTGCAAGGGTAATGGCAGATCTATGAGAACCTGGTCATTACGCGAATATTATATTTCGTATTCATAAATATTTGACTTATTTAGAATGTTTATATTATTGACAAGTTTACTTTGGGCCGTATGTTGTTGTTTAAGATTCAGCTACTGAGAACAAAAAGTTGTAAGTAGCACGGGCTATGGAGAGCCCGTAGTGGACTCACCTGTCACAGGAGCGGGGCTGATGTGTGTTGGGCCGTAAGTAATTTAGGAATCTAATTTTACCAATATATTCAAATTTTAACAACTCTGTCTAACGTATTTAAAACAAATATGAAAAAACACTTATAACAATATTCAAATTGATAATTTTTTTTAAATATTTTATCTAAATACGAACGTACACAAATACATTTTAAACAAAACGGACCCTGCTAATAGTCTCTCTTTGAGAGTCTCAATACAAGAAATAAATTACGATAACCTCAAAATGACGTAAATTTATAGCCGACAAATTTGTGCAATACACAAAGAGAGAGAGAAGATAAATATATAAATAGAAATAAAAATGAATGGATACAATTTGACGAAGAAGAGAACTCACGACAACGTCCTTCATAAGCGACTTTGAGTTTGAGTTGAGGGTTCTTGCAGGCTTTGATTTCCAGTTGACAGGCGTTGCTGTAAGTCTGCCCGTCAGTACCACACACCGGGGCGTAGTTAGCTGTGCACGCGACCGGGCACCCAAGCCTTAGTCCTGGAAAGGAAAGTTGGTTGTATTAGTGACGTCTTAACCCCCGGAAAGTGGAGTCGGTTGTATTAGTGACGTCTTAACCCCCGGAAAGTGAAGTCGGTTGTATTAGTGACGTCTTAACCCCGGAAAGTGAAGTCGGTTGTAATTTGGTTGTATTAGTGACGTCCTATTAGTAATCTCTTAACCCTAGAAAGTGAAGTTAGTTGTATTAGTGACGTCTTAACCCCCGGAAAGTGAAGTCGGTTCTATTATAGTGACTGTTGTATAGTTCCACATTTAACGATATGAAGTTAAAAAAAAATATTTATCCATTCGCGATAGGCCAGAAGTTTGGGGCTAGTCTGCCTCATCAAACTTTGCAGGGTAACTGGTGGTTGTAAGGGGATTATCATAGGTGATGGGAATCAAGGTTGACCTCCATTCCTTCCTTGATACCAACCTCACTAAATAACCAGATTCCATTGTCACTAAGATTCGTCCAGAATATGATGAAATAATAGTTTGCCTTAGGTGGTTTATTGATGAAGATAGTATTTAGTTAAGATGGTTACAGTGATGAAGGGAAGGTGGATGATTGAGTGGGAACGTGGAGTAGAAGAGGGAAAGTGGTGAAGGAGAAGGGAGGTGGTGTAGATAGGGCTCCCGGCTGTACCAGGGTAGTGGAGATAGTTTCACCGTTGAAGGTTGTATGGAGTTAAAGTGGTTACAGCGTGGTAAGTAGTATTGTAGTGATTAAAAGATGGGCATTTCAGCGATGAAGGTCGTGTGTAGTGTAGATGGTTACAGTGATGAAGGGCGTGTGTAGTGTAGATGTTACAGTGATGAAGGCCGTGTGTAGTGTAGATGTTACAGTGACGAAGGCTGTGTGTAGTGTAGATGGTTACAGTGATGAAGGTCGTGTGTAGTGTAGATGGTTACAGTGATGAAGGTCGTGTGTAGTGTAGATGGTTACAGTGATGAAGGCCGTGTGTAGTGTAGATGTTACAGTGATGAAGGTCGTGTGTAGTGTAGATGGTTACAGTGATGAAGGTCGTGTGTAGTGTAGATGGTTACAGTGATGAAGGCTGTGTGTAGTGTAGATGATTACAGTGATAAAGGCCGTGTGTAGTGTAGATGTTACAGTGACGAAGGTCGTGTGTAGTGTAGATGTTACAGTGACGAAGGCTGTGTGTAGTGTAGATGTTACAGTGACAAAGGCTGTGTGTAGTGTAGATGGTTACAGTGACGAAGACCGTGTGTAGTGTAGATGGTTACAGTGACGAAGACCGTGTGTAGTGTAGATGGTTACAGTGACGAAGACCGTGTGTAGTGTAGATGGTTACAGTGACGAAGACCGAGTGTAGTGTAGATGTGGCCTCCCTCATCCGAGCAACGCCGGGTATCACTCCCCCCTCTAGTATAAAATATTTATACGCTTATAATAAATATTACAATGTTATATAAGCATAATTCCCGAAATAAAAATTTAAAACAATGAACTTCAGTGCACAAAGAAATCAGATTACCGTGATGTATCGAGGAGAAAAGCAGCAGGAACCATTGGGGGGCAGGATTCGAACCCGCACAAGCTGTGTATACTCCTAAGCACACGCCTTGTTGGTCTTAAGACGTGTGCTTGGGAGTACCTACTGTGCACGTTCGAATCCTTCTCATGTCACCTTCTGATTTTCTCAGTTATAAAGTAGTTTTATCCAGGACGATTGAGCAGAGTATAATACACTGAGTTCATCACACAAAATAAATAATACCATAAAACAGTTTAATACTTATGATACGAGAGATAAAATCTAATTTTATCTGCAGTAATACAATTTGCTGCTTAATTTTACATAATAAAGACTAACATAATAAATTAACACTATCACTAATATATAACGATACTAATAAAGCTTAGAATGAGATTGATGAACACAATTTACAGAGAAGCAGTTTCAGAACCAATATATGTCTTCTAAATGTAAACTAGTTTGACACGCAGTACGCAACACGACGCAAACAAACTCACTAACAAAGAAGCTGCAGGTATATTAAGCGTTAGAATGAACAAACGACAAATTTCCGATAACTTACGTTTAGCGGACACTAGAGGGCCACAAGCCACAAGCACCAGCAGCAGGAGGGCGGAGGTGAAGGCCAGGGAACCCATCGTTGTCACAAGTCTTCACAAGGTGGCAGAACACAACCTTGGGAGAGAAAAGTAAGACATTGTGGTCATTGTTGACCCCCGCTGTTGCTACCACGACCTGAGACCCTTACCCATGTTTGGTGGAGTGTCTACCACAACCACCATTACTGCTACCACGACCTTAGACCCTTACCCATGTTTGGTGGAGTGTCTACCACAACCACCATTACTGCTACCACGACCTTAGACCCTTACCCATGTTTGGTGGAGTGTCTACCACAACTACCATTACTGCTACCACGACCTTAGACCCTTACCCATGTTTGGTGGAGTGTCTACCACAACCACCATTACTGCTACCACGACCTTAGATCCTTACCCATGTTTGGTGGAGTGTCTACCACAACCAACATTACTGCTACCACGACCTGAGACTCTTACCCATGTTTGGTAGAGTGTCTACCACAACCACCATTACTGCTACCACGACCTGAGACTCTTAGGGACATGGAACCTTAGGTACCATCACTACTGGTGCCACCACAACCATCATCACTAATACTGCCATCACCACTACTCCGGACCAGTTACTGTGTATATAGCTGGACACATTATTATCTATAATGAGAACCAAGATTAAAATCGGGGTCTGGTGTTTGTTAATTTTATCGTTAGTTAATGTTTAAACGTATATGCAAGTAGGAGGCATGAAAGGCTTGAAGACTCCAACATTATCAAAGTAGATTCCAAATGTCCACAAACTAAACTTCTTACCTGTAACTCCTACTGTGGCGGCGGGACTGACAGTGTGGCTGTGGTTCTCATGCCTTTTATACCCTCCCCAGATGCGGGGCTGCCAGACTTTCAAACTAACACTTATAGGATTTTCTACTGGAATTAAGACCTATTAACCCCACCAGTTTATTGACCAATCAGCAGTAATTCTTTAGTCTTGAACATTGTCTAGGACTAAAGTAAACTCTTTAAATATATATGCACCTAGAAGACATGCTGTACCATCATCAGATTTCAGAAATTCCTAAAAATTCATTCAAGGTTTTGTTACATCAGGAGTACATGGGGGAGTTTTTTTTTCATTTTTAAAAACAGCTTCTGAAACTTTCCTAGAGTGAGAGAAATTCCCCCAGAAGCCGGCCCCTGTAACGAGGCGCTTGTGTATTATCCTAAATGTGTGTCTACGGGATCAAGCGTCAGCTCTTGACCCCCGCCTTGTAACTCACTAATGGTTTACTGCATTGCCATAAACCTAACTATACAGGGTTTCTGTCTCCACCAAAAAAGGGAATTATTTAATTGTTTTGGGGTGAAATTTTTTGTTATATTTGTGAATCGTTTGTGCCTCCTGTTTTCGTCTGTGTTTCCGTCTGTGTTTTCGTCTGTGTGTGTCCGTCTGTCTCCTCGTACTATTGTTTTCCTTAACAACCTGTGTAATGTTATCGGAGAATAAGTCACCATAACGGAACTGAAGCCTATAACCCAAGCCTAACACATGAAGTGAAATGAAAGTCACGTTTCTACCCGTCGTGGACCCTTATGTGACGACGTTTCGGTCCGTCGTGGACCCCCTATCAAATGAACAAATCCACAAAGGTCGTGACGAGGATTCGAACCTGCGCCCGAGAGCATCCCAGACGCTGCCTTAATCGATTGAGCTACGACATGGTCAAAAGGAGTTGAAACCGAAGTTCCACTGAACTTATTGGATCCTGCAGCCTCTCCGAGACACAAACCAGGGTTTTACACAACTCCCCCGTATGCACTCGAGCTATGTCAATAGGCCGTTCTCCCTCTTCGCCCTTACTTCATTACACACAGAAATCGCAATTGTGTGATGCATCAAAATGCATCACGCAATTGTCAGATTCCTATGATAGAGTAAGGGAGATGAAGTGGAAAAGGTTGGGTTGACTGCATATTCCTTGACAATCTTAAGGCCTTCCATAGAGTGCTTGACTGTGGGCTCACGTACACCGTGAAGATAATGGCTGGGGTGTTAGGGGCGGTACTCACTGGTTGAAGGAGATCTTTCTGTAGAAGAAGTTAACACTGAGAGCGGATAAGTCAGATGGGAGTAGTGAAACAGCCAATAATAAACATACATATTTTTTTATTATATGTTATTATTATTATCATATAATAAGTGGAGTTTCTCAATAGAAAATCCTTGGGCCCATCCTGTTTGTGCTGTAAGATAATATAATCAGTACAACAACACTAATGACAGTTCTGTTCTCTGTTTCTTGATGCTTCCAAGACACTTGACAAAAGATGAACAAAATTAGCTTTAAAATAAATCTGTTGATCCGTAACGGTTAACCTGCAATTGCTAGATACCTTTACGTATATCATCAGGTCTACGAAGAAGCTGTGAAATGTTACAGTGTTCACTCTTAAACATTTATCACGAAGAAATGTGATGAAACAAACAGCTGAGCTTGATGCATATGACGTGATGCCACACGATGTGTAGTGCTTCTAAAGGAGAGACATTGTACATCTATATATGTGGGTCCATTTATATACATCACACAACTCAACTCCAGTGCAGTACTTTACTGCAAGGTATTTTTAAATACAAAAGGTAAACAACTAGGCAGAGAGAAAGGATGCATCAGATAAGAGTTGATACCTAAAGAAGTGGAGATTCCCAAGGATATAAATACGACATACAAAACACTTAGACATTGACAAAGTCAACAAATGACAGAGACAGGAAGATCGTCACACGTGTGAACACATACATGAGCCATATACATATATCTATATCAACATATACATCTTGAGTATGGGTGGAGCGAGTTAGTGGAGCGGGGCTGTAGCTGACGTCACATTCAGGTGAGCACACACACACATGCGCGCTCGTCCTCTCTGAACTGCGCGGGAAAATCTCCTTTAAACCTGTTATTCTAGGAAATGTTTTCAGAGGCGGTTCTTCAGGTAAAATAAACAGCTCCCCCCCCAAAAAAAACAATAAGCTGAAAAAAGTGATTGGCGGAATTGAAGCAAATGACTTCCTGCCTTTAGCACTCAGTGAACTATCAGGAAACCTATAATGTTTTACAACAACTGTAATGTAACTCTTGTGCTGGCCCAACAACCCTCCGGAAGTTGTTGGGCCGTAAACCTAAACACCTTTTCCTATCAATGCTAGTTTGGAGGCTTGGCAACCCAGCATCAGGAGTGGGTATAAAAGGCGGGCAATCAGCTACCCAGCGTCAGTCCTGCCACAACTGGAGGAGAAAAAGGTGAGAACTTAATTTTGTGATAATGATATAGTCCTCAAGCCTAGGATGCCCAGACTTGCATTTGGGTTTAAACATTAAGGGTCTAGCAGTACAGTTGGCTTCGTTCTCGACTCACAATGGGGAATCCGGGATTCGATTTTAGGGCACGATGAAAATGGTTGGGCACGTTTATTATCACCTAACGCGTTTGTTCACCTCGATATAAATAGGTACCCCGACAGTTGGTCAACTGTCGCGGGTTTGAATCGTGGAGAGGGTCAGCAATTCGACCTTGGGCGGTGGACCTCGATACAAGCCCAAACTAAATGTTTATATTATTACCACTGGCTTCATGTTCCTACAAAACACCAACATTAACTTTGGTCTACTTTAAAGATAATTAATTACTCGTATACGAAGAACAGTGATTGACTGGTCCAAGATAATAGTGGTGGTGGCCCTAGAATAGCAGGGCCTTTGGGTAGTTGGCTAAAGTGCCCATGCGTTAGGACGATACTGGTAGTGGTAGCTGCAGCAGCATTGGTGGTAGACACTCCACCAAACATGGGTAAGAGTGTCAGGTCGTTGTAGCAGTAATGGTGGATGTGGTAGACACTCCACCAAACATGGGTAAGGGTCTCAGGTCGTGGCAGCAACAGCGGGGGTCAACAATGACCACAATGTCTTACTTTTCTCTCCCAAGGTTGTGTTCTGCCACCTTGTGAAGACTTGTGACAACGATGCGTTCCCTGACCTTCACCTCCGCCCTCCTCCTGCTGGTGCTTGTGGCTTGTAAGTTATTGTGGCTTGTTCTGTGTCCTTAGTTATGCGCGTATGCTAACCTAGTTTTACTTACTTATTTGTACTTGCGGGTAATTGAGTTCCTGACTCTAAACTCTGTAATCTACTGGTATATAGGTTCCGGAGCATATTGAGCCGTCATATCTACTTCTTAAATCACTTCATATATGCTCACCTAGTTATGTTCTCACTATATGTGTTTGTGTTCACCAGTTTGTACCTGGAAGGTTGAGCATCTGCTCTGAATTAAGCTCCGCCAATAGACTACCGGTAGTTCAAATCGGTAACTTTTTGCGCTCATGGGTGTGTCCTGATTACCCCATTTTTTGTAATAAATCCGTGAGACATCTTGGGTGAGTAATGAGTCTCTGGTGTTCATCATGGGACGTGATAATATTCTTCAGCGCACGAGAAGTTCACTGTTAGCTTTTCTTAAATGAGTTTTGGTGAAAAGTAAAGTTATTTTCCATCGTTAGTAATTTTATTTGCGGATGATCTTTGGTTTTTTCGGTGCCCACATGTACACTGTTCCCCCCACAGCGGCGGCGGGCACGTCCAGATGCCCCAAATTCTGCCAGGAAATTTACCGCCCGGTCTGTGGCTCTGACGGCGTGACGTACGACAACGACTGCTACTTGCGTATTGCTGCTTGCAACAGCAACTGGCGCATCAGGAAGCTACACGACGGCCCTTGTGGTGAGTATATCTATGGGATTTATTTCATTTTGTTGGCAATAACTTAGTTTGACGGAAAGTTTTCCAAAGACTTAATAAAGAATTTAGACGAAATTAGAGTAATAAGTGTCATTTATGAAGTGGTTTTCTTCGCTATTAGTAAGATCGTCCTCCAGTCATGTATTAGCCCCGAATGTTAATGCATAATACAAATATAATACAATCGTGAGGATATAATCAATGTAATTAATGTTTATAATAGGTCTAATGATAATACTAAATTTTTTAATAGTTCATTTTGATGATTATACACGAGAAAAGTTAGTCAGGGCACTTAGGTTCATCAAGAAGTAATTGTCTTATGAACTGACTTCAAGGTAACTACCCGACACAGAACAGCCCACTTGTTAAGAACTGTCAAGTGTTGGTGCCACAGTCTTAACCCCTCGACCATTACGGACAATTTAGTCCTTGCCTTCTTCGCTGCTACAGAGCAGCGAAGAAGGCTTTCACTTTATGGCAAATTTCCATTGAATTGTCTTTGTTAGAATCTTCATTTGTTTTATTATGTTCTCTTGTCGAAGGTTTACTAGTTTCTCATTCTTATCCTTGCGAAACTCTTAAGTGTCTGCTCATTAATTCCCATTCTGATTTTAAGTTAAGACAGTTTGATAAGATCGACCAAGTGAGAAATGATCTCAATGAAGGTAACGACCAGTAAGCCAAACAGCTCTCGCTAGACGTTACTGTACGTGACGACTACTGAACCCACTGTCACCAGAGTTACGTCATCACTACGTTGGTTCAAGGGTTCAACAACATGATAATTAGGTCACACCGGAGCAGGTCTGGTGCCTCATGCTTGGCGGGGCCCACATATATACTTTCTCTCTCTCTCTCATATATATAATCGGTGTTCTCTTAAAATTAAGATATTGTTCTCTATAGCTTCAGGTTAGATGCCAGCCTACGACTCTGACTTATTCCAGACGAATGAAGAACACTTCTACGTTGGAGTGTTGTGGCTCCAGGTCCAGGTCGCCTCCACCAGCCCGCACGTCCTGATGGACGCTCTCTCTACCACGCACTTTACTAATAATAACTTAGTGGTTCCTCACTTACATTTGTCATTAAAGCAAGTATAGATATTAGTGGTTTTTTTTTAACGCCCACTTTTAAGAAATAGTTCTCTCTCTTTTTATATTTTTTGCACACGCGAGAGGGGCCTCGTGGTTGAGTGGACAGCGCTTAGACACAATTAGATTCTAGGATTTATATCTAGAACCTTCTGTAACAAGCTGTCTGTATTCCTTCAGCTGTATCTTGGCCTTGTCTGGCGCCATTTGCTTTATACTGTAAAGTTTTGAGTGCAGACGAGGAGTCACAATAACGTGGCTGAAATATGTTGACCAGACCACACACTAGAAAGTGAAGGGACGACGACGATTAGGTCCGTCCTGGACCATTCTCAAGTCGATTGTGATGAGGGAAGATTTATAAGGATTAAGCCACCCAAGAGGTGGCACGGGCATGAATATCCCGTAAGATGAGGGAAGGAAGCAAAGGCAATAAATAGGCAAGAGAAAAGTGAGAAGGAAATCTTGGATAAAGAAAAAGCAAGGCAAAAGATACGAAAGGTAAGGTGAAATAAAGAGGATAGGAATAAGACAGGGATCGTAAGAGAAAAAAAAAGAAAGATAAACGGTAAACTTATGTTAGGTCAAATTTGTTAGAAAGTTTAGAGCATTTGAGTATATACTGTTAAAGGGAAGAGTCAACAGCAACAAAGCCAGGACTCGAGTTCATGTTGGGTACGTTGTGTATTAGAGCTGATTCAACATGACGGCGTCTGTGTAGAGTAGAGGGAGGAAAGATTATTTTGGAGGAAGACCAATCAATAGGATGATTAGAATCCCTAACATGACAGAGAGCATTGTTTGTGTCTGCAGACTTAACGCTTCTTTTGTGTTCCTTAAGTCTGTCATTAAGTGTACGGTCAGTTTCACCAAAGTTTTGAGCGCAGTGTAAAGTATACATATACACGGCAACGTTAGTTCGGTGAATTATGAACTGTGAAGATAAATTAACATAATTTACATTTTTCAGGCAGGTGTAGAGTAAGGGAGACGTGACTGAGGTGTAGTGAGGACTAGGGGGGGGGGGGATGACTGACGTGTAGACAGAGGTAGAACACAATGGACAGCACCACTGGAGAAGGCGCCAAAGGGGTCAACACCAAAGGAGAGACGTGCGAAATAACATCCAGGGGTACGTCGTCACCGGCACAGATTAAGGCTCAGTTAGTGCTGGGACGTGAGAGCGAAGTGTAGGGGGGGGGGGGGAGAAAAGCCCCCCCCCCTCCCATTCCCTTTCACGGTTTCATCCCGTCCTCGGGGCAAGTCCATTCTATCCAGCGGTCGACCCCACAGACGCATTCATAAGTTTTTACATGCTGTTCATTCAAAATGGGAATTTTCTCAAATATATATTAATATTATGATATATTAACATATTGTGCATATATAGGCATGGGTTAGGTTAGGTGTTTAGGTTCTAATGGCGATTATTTGAATTTGTAGTACGTGGGTGAAACATTTACAGCGTTGTGGTTCGAACAAAATTCATCAGTGAAGCATTTGTTCCGGAAGTGTTCGAACATCAACAGTTGTGAGTCGTGTGCAAACCGTTTTTCATTCATAAACAGGGGGTTTGACGGGTGCATGGAACCACTTTTGGGTTTTTGTTTGGAGGACGGACTGGCTTGATAGAATCGACTTGGTCCGAGGACGCGTTGCGCAAATGACACAATTGCTTACTCAACCACAACAAGATGCAAGAGCTGACAATGGACTGTTCTAGATATTACCACGGAGGATTCAAAGGCGGACTCAAAAGATGGAATTCAGTTCCACAACCACAATCTACCTGATCTCAATAAAAAAAATAACAGCCCCACCAAGTTTAAAGTGCCACGCAACTTCTGTGTACTGAAGCACCTCTCCGCTAGTCCCCGCCCACTGTGACAATTTCCGCGGGCATATTGGTGGAGGGGGGATGGGGGAAAGGGGGTACGGGAGAGGGTGGGTAGATAGGGGGCATGGATGTGGGACAAGGGGAAAGGGGGGTATAGGAAATAGATAATAACCGAATCTGACGTAAACACTCCGTAGAGTTGTATCGCGATTTACGGTTTTGTCAACTCTTAGTTACATAATACTCCTGTTTTCATCATTATATGTTGCTGTAATTCGTCGTATTTTTCCCATGCTTAATACTATAGAGTTATGCAATCGTAGTAAAACCATTCAGTGAGCTGTTCAATGAAACGTATATCACGGTAGCTCACTGTAACTCTCAGCTCCCGCACAGGCACTGTACCTCGCAGCTCCTTGTAAGGTGCGCACAGCACCTCACTTGAACGTCCTCACTGACTCCGACTACTCCCCCGAGCACTTCCAACATCCGCAAGGTCAGACGAATTGGAACATCACACGACCTACTGTCATCACGTTAGGTCGCATTTAAGTGCCAATATAACGGTTCTTGATGAGGTCACTTCACGACCTCGTGTTTCTCAGGTCACTTCACACAACCTCTCGACACCTGACTACCGTTCTTAGATGGCAAACTCTACGTCAAATAGCCGACTACTACCCCTAAGATCTTAGTAGACTCGTCAGTCGACAACAATCTCTCTTCCGAATCAATTTAAGAATCGACAGAGCGAATTGTTGCAGTATCCTGGAGTCTTACTGAGACGGTGGAGTGCGCTTCAAGTTTGGAGTAACGTGTCACTTGGTGCTTTCAAGCCATACGGAGAAATCACTTGGATCTTGGAAGAAATTGACTAAGGACTCAGCATCTTTGGGAAGGAGTTACCTGATCAACTTAGAACGTCTGGCGTCGTTAATGAAGTGTTGGGTAAGGTAATTATGGGGAATAATAAGTACTACGCCAGTATAATCTTAGAGCTCGTATCTAGTTGGGATATAAGGACAAGGAGTTAAGATATAAGGGCAAGGAGTTAGGATATAAGGGCAAGGAGTTAAGATATGAGGACAAGGAGCTGGGGATAGGAGGAAGAAGTGAATGAACAGTTATACTCGCTGGATTCTGAGGACATGAAAACGACGACGCGGGTACTTACCTATCAGTAATTACCTATCAATGACTACCAGGAAAGCGAGCTCTAGCTCTTTATCCCCCTCACTTCCTTACCCTCCAGCTCCTTGCCCTCCTAGTCCAGCTCCTTGTCTTCATATCCCAGCTCCTACCTTGTTGTACCAGTCACGTTAATAATTGCTAACTACTCTCGAATTCCTTCCCAAAATGTAGCTCATAAAATTTGTGGATGGAGGAGGTGGCTTCCACATCTTCTCCTTCCAGTGGCCAACGACGAAGTTCCTGTTTCAAGACGGTTATTCTTTAGCCTTGAGGTGGATCACTGGACAGTAGGAAGAAACAGTCCTGTGAGGGAAACCCGGACATTTGTGCGTTCTTTGTGTATATGTGAGTTCTTTTTTATTTGTTGTGCTCTTCATATTTGGGCGTTCTATTGATTTATGTGTTCTGTATATGCTTTCTCGATATTGGGTCATTCTTTTTATTCGTGCGTTCTTTTCATTGGTGCGTTTTTTATTTGTGAGTTCCTATTATTTATTTATGCGTTTATATATATATATATATATATATATGTATATATATGTATATATATGTATATATATATATATATGTATATATATGTATATATATATATATATATATATGTATATATATATATATATGTATATATATGTATATATATATATATATATATATATATATATATATATATATATATATATATATATATATAATTATTATATAATATAATATATTGCACTCTTTCTATTTATGCGCTATTTGTATAAGTCCCTTCCTTTTAGTGTAATAACTATTGTTGTAATGTCACTGGGCTGTCTTAAATTTAACCAGGCAATATAGACACTGAAGATGAACTGAGCTGTGTGTAGCCAACCGAGAGAGAGAGGTAGAGAGAGAGGTAGAGAGAGAGAGAGAGAGAGAGAGAGAGAGGAAGAGAGAGAGAGAGAGAGAGAGAGAGAGAGACGGACGGACGGACGTATTAGGTGCTACCATCCACATAACTATAACACCCACATAACGCTGGCCAGCCCGTCCTCCTATGGTTTCCCAACGTCAAGAAACAGTCGTACTAAAGTGCCCTTATCCTAACCCACCAGAGGACCTATAACAGAAAATGGGACCATATGCCAGTTTTCGCAAGCCGCGGCCATTTGTTAGTACAACGTTTATTGACCTTTGGTAGAGTATACGTCACATGCGACGTTCTGTTAGGAGGGCGGGTTGCGCTGCCACCACCCTGAGATACCGGACATGGGACTGGGAAAAGACGTGATTGATTGATGAAGATTAAGCCACCCAAGAGGTGGCACGGGCATGAATAGCCCCGTAAGACAATTCTCGGGTTTTTGTTTTAGATTCAGCTATTCGGAACAAGAAGTTCCAAGTAGCATGGGCTATGGTGAGCCCGTAAGTGGAAGCGCTTTGGAGCTATTATCTGTATCAATAGCTGATACTGGAGCACTGTGGACCGATGGGGGGTCTTCATAGTGGATTTCAGTCTCGGAGGTCTGGCTGGGACCAGTTATGGAGCTGGTGGGTTAGTATAGACCTCTTGGTCTTCCATTTTCTCTTTGGCTGAGACTTGCTGTCGTTGGAGTTTGGGGAGATGACCTCCATGAGGAGGTCTTTTCTCAATTTGAACTTGCTCTTATATAGAGCTGTAAGGGACATGTGAGGTCCTCGGCCTCCTTTGATGTGGCAGTTGTAATCCTCGGAACCTCGTGACCTCCTTCACCGTTGACCCGAGATGACCTGGCCCTTCCTTAGCGTCCAATTGAGCTGTGAATTTCCAAATGTGTACAATCGTGTACAGTCGTTCTTCTGTGTACTGCTCTCTTGTTACATTAGTTATGCATTTTTATTTGTGAGTTTTTTATATTAATGTGTTTTTATTGATATATGAGTGTTCTTTAAATTTTGGATTTCTTTATATTTGTGACTTTCGCTTCAGTGGTCATTACGTTATCCATATTGTCTAAGGTAAAAAAAACATTAGTCCATAGTA